CCGCGGGGATTCGAACCGCCGACCTTTCGATCGGCAAGTCCTAGGCGCTGAGGCTTTTAACCACAGCGCCAATAGCTTACAAGAATTTAATGATAGCAGTAGTAGCTTGCAGTAATCCAGCAAATTTGCAACAATTTGGCACAATCCAGCAGGATATGAATGAATGTGGATAGGTTGTCTCAGACCCTTCAAGTGCCCCTATTTCCCAGAGACAGTCCCTGATTTACAGAACCCATCCCAGTTTCTGATTTGATCCCAGAATGTCCTGCTTTTCCTTTGTTGTTGTTTAGTCGTTTAGTCGTGTCCGACTCTTTGTGACCCCATGGACCAGAGCACGCCAGGCACTCCTGTCTTCCACTGCCTCCCGCAGTTTGGTCAAACTCATGCTGGTAAGCTTCGAGAATACTGTCCAACCATCTCGTCCTCTGTCGCCCCCTTCTCCTTGTCATCTTTCCCAACATCAGGGTCTTTTCCAGGGAGTCTTCTCTTCTCATGAGGTGGCCAAAGTATTGGAGCCTCAGCTTCACGATCTGTCCTTCCAGTGAGCACTCAAGGCTGATTTCCTTCAGAATGGATAGGTTTGATCTTCTTGCAGGCAATGGGACTCAAGAGTCTCCTCCAGCACCATAATTCAAAAGCATCAATTCTTCGGCGATCAGCCTTCTTTATTGTAATGGTTCTAGGGGTTGCTCGTGCGTAAATCGGCGCCACACCTGGCTGGGTTGCCTGAGTGAACCTTTTCTGTCCGGACAGCCACTCGCCCGTGGCTGTCTCAATCGCTGGCAGAATCCGTCAGTGGGCGTTTCTTGAACTTCTTCCAGCAAAGAAGTTCTTTGACGCCTAGTCTCCGCCTACTCTCCCTGCGCGGAAGCCTTCTGCGCAGGGAGGGTGTGGGCAGTGGAGGACCCGTGCTCTCCCCGCTGATCCCCGGCGAGGAGTCATGGAGCCACCTCGCCGATTCCCGCATCTGCCCCCTTTCTCCACTGGTGCTACGCTGATTTCCTTCCCCAGAAGATGTGCTGCTTCTCTCCCTCCCGGGACGCTCTCCGGAATCCCTCTGGAGCCCTCCCTCTCCCCCTGGCTCCGATGGCAGTTCCCTGACATCCATGGTCCAGCTTTCACTTCCATACATCACTACTGGGAAAACCATAGCTTTAACTATACGGACGCTTTTCCTTAGGACCTCCCTATTTTCATTGGAGAAATGTTGGAAGGTATGGTATAATGTCCCTATTTTAATTGGAGAAATGTTGGAGAGTATGGAGTTATCCGATCCTCAACCCATTTGAAGGCAGCCCTGTATAGGGAAGTTTTTTTAAAAAAAATATTTAATGTTTTATTGTGTTTTTATACATGTTGGAAGCCGCCCAGAGTGACTGGGGGCAACCCAGTCGGATGGGCAGGGTAGAAATAGCAAAACCTTTATTATGAATAAGACATCATTACTTCAATTGGAAAAATGTTGGAGGGTATGCTGTCTGTGTAAGTGCAGCACCTTGAACAGGCAAGGACACACCTGCATGCACACATTTTATGTGCATATGATCTTTCCAACATTCTGCTGAATGCTTATGGAGGATGGAAAAGAGGCACCAACCTGCTTGCCTCCTCTTCACAAGTTCAGAGGAGCTTGTGCCCCCAATGAAATTTCATATTTAATTATGCACTAAAAGGAATGAAAGGCACACCAGAATGGCTGTAAATAAGCAGCTACCTGTAAATAAAATAAAATAAAAAGGTTATGAGCTCATGTACTCCTCCTCTGATTTCTCATTATAATGATGGAATGTGATTCAGCCAACTCATCTAAGGCCTTGACTTTGGCCTATAATCATCATGGTAATTTGTCCTTTTTTAATTATTAGAGCCTCTTTATTGGAGGTTACCGCCCACAGACTTTGGCTGCGCTTTTGGCTTGTGTGGTGGCACCTCAGTAAAACCTTGTCTTACTGTTTATAGTAGAGTATTTCCCTGGCGGCAGACAACAAGAACAGCAGTAGCCACAGTCAAAGTCCTCAGTCAAGAGTCTCTTTATTGCTTGACTGGTTGCAAATATATACAAACTATTTACATGCCTTCTATATCTCTCCAGCACGGTATAAACTCAGCGTGTATGTGTGCTTTCCTCATGCTAGAATTGCAGCTTGTAACTTGCAACTTCCTCCTTTCATAATGGGATTTCATAATGTGTTGGTTGTGAAGGGGTCCTTAGAAAAACTCAGTGTTTTTCTGATTTGGAATAGGGGTACATAAATTAGGCTGGACAGAAGGTCTTAGTGATCAAAGCATTTTCTCTTTGTCTAGCATCCATGTGCCACCATCAATGTGAAGCCATATTCATTTTCAACTTGCTTATATAATTTTCCTTGTTTTTCTAAACTGTGAATGCTTTTGCCACATCTTCTGTGTGAAGGCTGTCTAAACCAGGAGTCAGCAACCTTTTTCAGCAGGAGGCCGGTCCACCATCCCTCAGACCATGTGGTGGGCCGGACTATATTTTGAAAAATAATAATGAACGTATTCCTGTGCCCCACAAATAACCCAGAGATGCATTTTAAATAAAAGGACACATTCTACTCATGTAAAAACACGCTGATTCCTGGACCGTTGCAGGCCGGATTGAGGAGGTGATTGGGCCAGATCCGGTGCCCGGGCCTTAGGTTGTCTACCCCTGGTCTAAACTGATATGCTCCGCAATGCCTATTAGTGAAAATTAAATGAACTTTTACTAATGCAGCACTAATGACATTATTAAATATCCATTCAAAGTGTTAAATACTTTGTGCTCAGGAACACAGAGGGCTGCCAGGATGGATTTTGATGTTGTCGGAGTGGGTTGTCATGGGACATCTTATTTATAGCAGGTTGGTTGTGTTTCTCTTCGACATTGCATTGGGGCAGAGGCTTCACCCAGTTATTTCTGTCATTAGAATATGGAATGATGAGCTTTAATATAAGCTTCAGTTGCTGAAAATAAGATGCCCCTTATGACATTCCACTAACTGAGCAATTTCCTTGGTCAGCTGCAGTTTCTGTGGATTATTAACTGAAGCTTTGCACACAAAGAAGACACAGGGCCGTCTTGTCTATTAATGCAGAAGAGCCTCTGAGACTCTGTTGCTAATTTACCTCTAAATGGCATATCAGGCTCAAGAATACAGATGTGTGCCAGCTGCTGTAATGTTTGGAAAGAGACGTGGGAACTGTACATCTGTCAGTGTGCAAATGATTGGTGAATAATGTAGTGGAAATCTTACCAGAATAAAAAGCCTTGATTTTGTCTCCTAAGCGCTGGGGAATTATCTTTCTCCCACAAAAAGAATAATGAAGATGTCATCCAGGGTGAATAATCTGAATCTGAACCACATCTGGATATACTGCCTTTGAAAAAATTGAAAAGAAGTACTAGGCACTGCACTGAATAATGATTTTCTGAGAGTTAAGATTTAGAGTTTCATGTCATTAAATAACTGCTGCAACAAGACAAACGCTTGCTCCTCTGAGTTGAAACAAAGGTACTTTCTGCATTTAGCCAATGAAAGGATGCCCAGTACATGACTTGGAAGCACATTGAATGTGCTGCTGGCTTCCACAAAATTTCTGAGCGTTTCACAGGAGGATTAAGCTGCAAGAAGTTTAGTTGAGAAGACTAACACCTAAGAAAAAAACAAAACTGCTTTCAGAGCTTTCCTTTTGTGTTCCAAAGATGATAGTGAACAAGAGAAAGGAAGGAAAACAATGAAAAGGTAATTGGAAAACAGGAAACAAAGAATTGACTCAAGTGGTAGGAGAGAAGATTCTCCGGTGAATAAAAAATTGCTGACCTACACCTTGCAAGCACACCAGGACGATTACTATTGATCTGAGACAGAGACAAGTGATCTATTGAATAGTTACAAATCAATGGTATGAAAGAAAATGCATGTGGTTCTTTTCCAAGCAAGTCAGCTATCTGTAACTCTTAACTAATAGGGGTACACAATTGCAGGGCCGTAGCTAGGGGGTGGTGAGATGGGCCCCCACTGGGGCACAGGCAAGGAGGGGGTGCAAATCGGCTTTAAAATATGTCCATAAATATGTCTATAAATAAAAATATTATTGCCTCATAAGAAAAGGTTTTTAATAGAGGGTGAATTGAATGGGTGGAGGGGGTGGGGTTCGGAGGAGAGACGGAAAGAAGAGCTAATTTGTCCATGGCTAGGGGACAGTGCCAGATTTCTGTAAAAATTAAAGGGGGAAAAACCTAGATGTACATTTCCGAAATATAAGATAAAAAACAAATAAAATAAAACCTACATACAGCAACAGTGTTTTGTGTTGTGTAGGCTCCTATGATGTAAGTAATGGGCCCCACCTGCTAGCCTGCTCCCTAAAATATCACTGGTTTGCTCATTTCTATATACAGTGGTACCTCGGGTTAAGAACTTAATTCCTTCTGGAGGTCTGTTCTTAACCTGAAACACCACTTTAGCTAATGGGGCCTCCCCGCTGCCGCCGCGTCGCCAGTGCGCAATTTCTGTTCTCATCCTGAAGCAAAGTTCTTAACCCCGAGGTACTATTTCTGGGTCAGCAGAGTCTGTAACCTGAAGCGTCTGTAACCTGAGGTACCACTGTATAGGGTGCCTACATTCTGCATGGACTGGTTGCTATTAATATACTTCTTCTTAATTGTATTTCAGTTCAACAATTACTTTGATAAAATACATATTTTGTTATGTGCAAATGGCTTTAGACATCTATTAGGTCCATAAATTACCATATAGCATATATTCAACACAAAAAACAGCGACAATTTGTTGTTGACAAAGGACAGCTGGACATATAAAGGGCCCCATTACCTTCAGTAGCTTAGGGCCTCGTCAAACCTAAATCCGGCCCTGCTAGGGGGCGCAATCTGGATGGTTCTGCCAGGGGCACAAGATCACCTAGCTCTGCACAATTGTCAGCTTTACCTGCTTTTATAATGACAGTGTTTATTTTTCTCGCTTTACCAGTGCTGATGCTCAGTAGCTACCCATTCGGTAGAGCATGAGACTCTTAATCTCAGGATTGTGGGTTTCAGACCCATGTTGGGTAAAATATTCCTGCACTGCAGGGAGTTGAACTAGATGATATCTGTGGTCCTTTCCAACTCTACAATTCTATGATTTTATCTAAACACTCTACTATGTTTAGTGGGAACAGTACTATCTTCTTGCTTTGTTGGGAATGACATGCAGAACATGATCTTAATATTTGTGCTCAGTAATACGGTATTCATTGTGCTCAATAAGGCTACAGAACTACAGCCTTTAGTAAACAATGCCAAATCACTGGATATATCTTCTGACTTACCATGTGTTGAACATGGAAAATGTTTTCCACCTTTAAAATCAAATGCAATTTTTTTTAGAAAAGAAAAGAAAAATACAGCAGGCACATATATTTATATAACCTGTTTTCTAAATAGTTTGGAAAAATCATAGGGAAATATTTAAAAAAAACCTTTTGGTTTCATCAGTGGATCGTGCTCTCTCCTACCACAAGTCTCCACGGACCTTTCACTTACTTTAATTGAAAACATTTCTGCTCTGCCTTTCCACGCAGCTTGAGGCGGCTTCAGTTTAAAAACAAAAAGTCACTTTGCCTTTATGTTCTGTGGAAAGAAATATATTAAATATCTTTTAAAAAACTGGTTCAGTCTGGGGCATGGGCGTAGCCTGGGGGTTGCAGGGGGCTAAATTAAGTAAGTAAATAAGAATATTTAACTGACCAATTGCATCACAGACAACGTGGTTCTGCCCCACCTCTCACCACACACAATGCCTTCCCCTCCCAAATAAATCCTGGCTACGCCCATGGTTTGGGGGCACTTAACCCACAAAACTGAGCAACACGCAATCTACGCCGTTTTGACGTACTGTTTCTTTAAGAGCAGAAAGGAGGAGGTGAGTGGGGCTGTCAGCTGACAGCAGCAGTGGCGGCTGATGCTTTAACACAGGGCGAAAACACAGGGCTTTCTCTCGTGCAGGATTCTAACTGCGCTTACTCAGAGGCAAATCCGAGCCCAGCAGCGGGACTTCTCTCTCAGTAAATGTCCTCGGCACAGACGTTTTAATTGCAAGCATGTCGCGCAGCGTCAGATCCTGAGACCTGGCCTTTCACTGCTAGACGCCCCCGCGCAACGCGATCCTATTCTGCTCGCCTGGTGGGGGAATTCCTCCCAGTTTAGTATTGCAGAAATAAAGTGATGGGGGAGGGAGGGGAAATGTGCTTTGCTTCTTTGTGTAGACCGGTTTCTTTTTAACCCGGGGTGGTGGAATCCATGTTTATTCCAAAGCCTAAATAATGCAAGGGATCCGCCGAAGGCGCCTTCGCTTTCCCAATGGGCAGGCGCCATAGGCAAAGGGGGCGGGCAAGGCTGCTGCTTCTCCCCCCGCCTTCCCTTCCCGGGATCGCGATTGGCTGCATGCGGGCTTGTGGCTTGCCAGCCTTCTTGCAGGGCTCTGGTTGCCGGTGGGGGTCAGCAGATGATCTGCAGCCGGTGAGTGAGGCCGGGAAATTTGGGACAATGTCTCTGGGCAGGTAAGCCAGCGTAATAAGACAGCGCCGGGGGTGTTTTTCCTTTTGGTTAGGGGGCTGACTAGCTCAGTCCAGGGGCTGCTGCTGTTTGGAAGGGCCTCATGTTGAACCCCCCCCTTTTTTTTTTAGGATAAAGCAGAGCAATAAAGCGCAAGGTCGCCTCCGTGCGGTTAAGGGTTGTCGGAAACCTGCCGGAGCAGCAATGGTTAATTTCCAAAAAGAAGGGTGCCAGGGGTTGCCCACAACAGGAAGGCATGTTTCTCGGGAAGGCTTTCTTCCAAATCTCGTGTGTGTGAATGTGTCAGTGTCAGAAGATGGTGATGGTTACTGGCTGACAAAGGCAAAAGTCATTTTTAAGTATGCTGAAACACCCTCCTCTTCCTTATGATCGCTCCTGTTCCTTTTGAAAGCCGAAGGCCCCCACTTGAGGCCTGGCTTAAATTTAAAGGGCAGGCTAAAGCAGGTTTGCCCCACAGTAAGTTCAAATGAGTTCAGTGATACTCGTAATAAATCATAGCTGCCAAGTGTCCCTTATTTGAAGGGACAGTCCCTTATTCCAGCACCATGTCCCGCTGCTGTCCCTTATTGATGGATGTCCCTTAAATGTCCCTTAAATGATGTCCCTTAAATTTCAAAGGAAGCAGCTCCTCTTCCTCCCTCCCTGCGGGCCAGGGAGGAGGGAGGCTCCAACTGTGTTGCTTGGCTGTGTTGCTCACCCAATAAGGAGTCTAAGAACGACTGGGGGGTGGAGCTTGCATGCCTTGTGTGTGGCTAGTTAATGCAAGTTGAGGGGTTTTTTGAATGCTGGACACCATTTTGTTGCACTTGCTGCTGCAAACTTTGCAGTGCAAAGCCAGGCTGGGGAGCCATCTTAAGTTGAGGCTGCATAGGTCTTGTGGTGCATGTGATTCAGATTCTATTCAGTTGAACCTCTGGTTACAAAGTTGGTTAGACAGTGTTCTCGAAGCTACCAGCATGAGTTTGACCAGATTGCAGGAGGACAGGAAGACTGGAGTGCCTGGAACAGGTGAGGCTGCAGGTCCCTTATTTTGGCTGCTGGTCCCTTATTTTCAAGGCTGCTGGTCCCTTATTTTCAAATCTGTAAGTTGACAGCTATGTAATAAATTAAGAATGATTTGTGGAAGGGGAGAGGAACGCCCAACTTCCTCTTACTCTGCTCCTGATAAATAATAGCACTAGAAAGGAAACCAGCATTTGCAGAAGTTAGGAAAGGCCGAAAGGCGCTTCCTTGTTGCACAACTGACTTATAAAAGCCGGGTTAAATCCAACCTTAATTGACAGTTCTGTGGCTGCATGTTTTGCTTGGGCTTTGGATATGTCCGCTTGCATCAGGAAACGTTAAAGAACGATAGGTTTTGTAGCTCTCAATCGGTAGTGAGGTCCAAGCGGCCCCAGCCTTGCACAGCTCTGGACCCTGTGGCTGAGCAAACCCGCAATGAGAAGTTACAAAAAATCAAGGTATTCAAAATTTTGTATTATTTTAGATGGTGTGAAAAGTGACTGATGATGTGAAAAGCAAACTAAGAAGTCCAGGCTCCCCTAGAATCCCAGGCCCACAACAGGCATGCCTCTTTCTTCTTCTACTGCCCAAAATACTCTGTCATCACTCTCTGCAGAGGAGTCACCAATGTTTTTAATATGCAAGGAAATCCTTTTGCAGTAGTGCTGTTATATTCCCGGTTCCCGGGAATCTGACTCATAAGCCAGAAAGGATATTATTCACACACCAGGAAAATGCACAGGTGTGTCGTTGCAGCAGCACACATTTTGTGCACAAATTATAAGCTTGTGTCTTAATTTTTCCTTTGGAAAAAAGCCTTGCTGTCAGGCCACTGTTGTCTAGCTCACTTCTTAGGCAATTGCTTCATTGTGTTTGTGTGTGTGTGTGTGTGTGCGCGCGCGCGCACATATCTGAGAGAAAGGGGGGGGGCAGATGATGTGGCTCCTGTATGGTGAGCCTAGAAATAAAAAGGACTTGCAGGTTGGGAGGATGCCAGAGGGAGAAAAGAAAGATGGATAAAGGGGTAAAAAGCAAATAGAAAGATGAGTGGCGCAGCAAGAAAATAGAGCTGTGCAGTGCTGTACACCCCACCCATTTTTGGATCTGGTCCTGTCCATCATCAACATCCCCAACAGATTATCCATGACTCTTGACACATTTCTTCCTTATTTCTTTTTTCTTTTTTTAAATGATATTTATTAAGAATTTTAAAATTACAGAAAAACAAAGAGAAAAAGAAGGAAAAAACAAGGGAAAAACAAACAGCAATCAAACAATACAAATCGATAAAAATCAAAATCAAAAAACAAAAACAAAACACATAACACATCAAAATCAAAAAGCAAAAATAAACCACAAAAATTTAAAAACAGATCCAATATTCCCAAATCCTTAACTGTCATTACCTTATTTCATCGACCTCCTCACACCTCCCTTTTTTGTATTCTAGTTGTTAATTATCACAGCAAATCCTTTCTATTTTTCATAATATTCTGTCATTAAATTACCTTAATCTATTTTAACCTTATATTACTATAAAAGACCATAAAACTTAAAACTTAAATCTTATTTATACCAATTTCTCATAACCATAACATATTCTTACATAGTTCTTTTCAACATTTCTTTTCTAGAACAAGGATGGACAGATACTGCACTTGTGGAATCTTGGTGTTTTTTTAAAAAAATATTATTTTACTAAAACTCCTAAGCCCATCAGCTGGAGCCTGGTGCAAAATGGTGGGTCAGATAAGGAACAGGGTCAGGCCAGGATTATTCCTGGGGTCATGAAGGGGTCCCTGCCTATAATGCCATGATAGCAGGTTATGGGATGTGATTCTTGCTATACGCTTCCCACTGCTGTGAACCTAGCATGTGGTAATGGAACGTCTGCTTTAATGGCAAGCTGGAAAGTTCTAAAATTATAGGCCTGGTTACGGCCCAGATTTAGAGGCCATTGGGGAAGAATGGCTACATAGGTAGCAGATTAGAGGTGATTCAAGGACTGGTGAGAACTTTGCTGTGCTGAACAGATCAGTGCATTTGGGCTGGATTTGGCTACCTTTCTTAGGGGAGATACTTACAGTGATTTAGGTTTTCTGCTGAAAGAAAGGCATTCCACACCAAGCTGACTTATGTGCGATTAGTCTACACTGAAATAGAAAACCTTGTACAGTATATATCTGGCAGCTCCCGCTGGTGGATTGGCAGAAACACCTGTTGGGAAAAATCCCCAAGAAAAAACTCACATATTTGTTTTCAGAACTAGAAAAGTATTCATACCAAAATCCATTCCCTAAGTGATCTTTACTCAGCAGCCTTATTTTATTTTAAGGAAGCCTTACTTTAAAAAAAACAGTTTGGAGTAAAGAAACTCTTTCTACTCTTCCCCTAAAATCCCCCAGTAGATTCTGATCTGCCTTTGCTCTCCTCTGCTCTAGATCACCCCAGTATCCTGAGCTGAAAACAGTAGTTATCATTGCCTGTGCTAATTTTGCTTACAGGAAATTCCCAGATCCCAGGAGCAGAGCATCTCCTCTGCATGCAGAAATTCCCAGGTTCCATTCCTGGCATCTGCAGGCAGATTTGGGAATGTCCCTTGCCTGTAACCCTGGAGATTCACAGCCAATCAGTGTTGACAGTACTGGGCCGGATGGATCAATGGTTTGCCGTGATATAAAGCAACTTCCTATGTGTCCATTCAAATTAGGTTGGCTGGGTTTTCTATTACTTCAGGCAGAATCAGGGCAAGGTCTTAGAAGCACAGACACAACTGGTCTTCCTGCAACCATTGCTGTAGTAGAGCTGTCACTGTTGGAGGATAGCCATGACAATCTCTGGTGACCTCATTGTCAGTACAGCCCTGTCTCTGTGACTAGAGCATTTACTTATTTTTAAGTATCGTTAAGGATGGGTGAATGTAGCACTGTAAAAAAATAATAATGGGGAAAATAGTACAGTGGTACCTCAGCTTACATATGCTTCAGGTTACAGACTCCGCTAACCCACAAATAGTGCTTCAGGTTAAGAACTTTGCTTCAGGATGAGAACAGAAATTGTGCTCCGGCAGCGCAGCAGCGGGAGGCCCCATTAGCTAAAGTGGTGCTTCAGGTTAAGAACAGTTTCAGGTTAAGAATGGAGCTCCAGAATGAATTAAGTACTTAACCCGAGGTACCACTGTATAGGGCTTCCTGGCCCGGCACAGTTATTCGTTGTCCTTTCAAGATCACTTTCTTTTAAGGAAAAAACAGGAACTCGTTTTTGGAAAGTATGTGACTTGAACACATTCACGAACATGCTGTTTTCTATGTTTCCCTTAGAAACAAAACTGAGAACCATTTGGCATTTAAGGGCCAGTCTCACTTCTCCATTGACTTGTATGGGGCAGTAGTTGCAAGGATAAGGAATTGATGCATGTCCTATTCATGTCTGTAAAATTAGTACAACTATTGATGCTGGATCAGGGTTGGTACCATAGCAATGATAAGCAGTCTGCCACTTGTGAAGAGGAAAAGAGTAGTTATATGTAAACTGCTGCAGTTTCTACTGTTTGAAATATTGACCTCCAAGTCTCAGTTTGGCAGCTCATGATTCCAGGAACAGCAAATAGATCTTCTGGGCAGGAATGGGGAAGCTTCTTCAGCCCATAGGCTGCATTCCTTGATGGCTAGCTTTTCAAGGGCCGCTATAAAACACATACCCATTCCTACATCATTCACAATAAAACACATATGCATTCATATATACACCTAGGCATGTGGCATTTGTTAATTTCTTCATTCATTCAAACGGACACACATAGCAGTTAGGCTTGAAGAAAAGATGATTCCTATAAGGAGGGGGGTGATTTTTGTGGAGAGCACAATATATTTGAAGGAGAGAGTTAACCCTTTACTCCCCCGGCTTAAATCTTGGGAAACAGACAAGGAGTTAAAAACTCAGAATGTGTAGATCTGCCTTTGTATCCTAGTTCAGTGTGATCTTTGGAGGAATATTACATCCACTTTGCTCCTTGGATTTGTGCTTGAGAGGGAGAGCCTTAAGCATCATTGACTATTTGAAACAAAATAGTTATAGCAAAACAAAATACTTCTGTTTTTTGTTTTTAAAAAGCCATGTAGCCTAGTTATGTAGAAGATGCCCTGTACCCATGTGGGGAGTCTGATTTAATTTGCATTTAAAGACGAACTGCAAAGACGAACTTTCAATACACACACTGGAACATAGCCAGATAACATGTTAAAGAATGCATATACCAGGAGAGGTGTATTACTATAATCAACATAGAGAAATGGATTATGTTAGAGAAAATTGCTTTGCTAAAATGTGTATATGAGACAAAACTGCATACAAGAACGTATATAGGAGAAATCAACACTAAAATTATGGTGACTTTTCACGAGGACTTTTAAGAAAAACAGTTTGCAAACTGATGTGGAAATGTGGAGAACTGAACGTAAGATTAGAAAAATGGAGAGAAACCAAAATTAGCAGATTCTCGTGTTCCTGCTTCTGCATCTTGTAGTTCATATTTTAATATACTGTGCCGCAAAGTGTAGGTGATAGATGACATGGCAAAAATATATATTGCTGTCAAACAAATCCCAAATGAACCACTTCTGCCAAACCATAGGTACAGTTCCAGAGTGTGTAATGGCAACTATAGGCTTTTATCACTTGGGAAGACAGGTGAACTAATGCCAGTGTACTGGAAGAAGCAAAGATCACCAGTATTGAAGCAATGATTCTTTAACATCAACTTCGTTGGATTGGTCATGTGCGGATGCCTGATTATCATCTTCCAAAGCAACTACTCTATTCCAAAATTAAAAATGGAAAGTGTAATGCTGGTGGTCAACAAAAGAGGTTTAAAGACTCTCTCAAGGCAAATCTAAAAAAAATGTAGTATAAACACCAACAACTGAGAAACACTGGCCTGCAAGCACTCCAGTTGGAGAACAGCTTTTACCAAAGGTGTCATGGGCTTTGAAGATGCTCAAACTCAACTCCTGCCCGGAAACCAATGTCCCCACTGTGGAAGGATGTGTGGATCCAGAATTGGCCTCCACAGTCACTCATGGACCCACTGTTAAAACCGTGTTTATGGAAGACAATCTTACTTGGCTACGAGTGATTGCCGAAGAAGAAGGCTGCCATACAGCTTGATCAGATTGTCTCCTGATAAAAGTATTGTCAAGAATATGGGAAAGGAACAAGAAGGGATAGGTGGTTTTGGGGTTAAGTAATGGATTGCATATTGAGGCTCCCAGCCTTCAGAAAGTGAATCATGAAGTTCTGCTAAATGGGTGAGTGAGAATAAGGAAATGACAGATTTGCATGGGGAGGCAAAAAACGAAACAGGAAATGTTGACTGTGATGCAGTGAAATAGTTCCCTTCTCATTAGTTAAGAGAAATCTGTGGTGCTACCTTCTACTGTCAAGTTGCTAAAGCCAGTTTTCAATGGTGAGTTGTGAAGTGGTTTGTTTGTTTGTTTCTTTCTTTCTTTCTTCGGGCAAAATGATATAGAAATTCTGGTTGAAAACGAGACATAAACTCCTCTATTGAAACTGGGAAATGTTGTATCACACTAGCAGAATGGGTAAGTAAATTCAATATCTGAAGGAAGAAGAATGCAAATGGAAGGAAACAATGGAAGTGGTTGTGAAGTTTCACGGCTGTGGTTACTATTTTTGCCATGACTGTTTTGTAAGATTGGTTTGAGATGACAAGTGGTTGGCATTGCCTTTAGAGCAGCTATGTAGCATTGTTGCAAAATGCGCTAAATATTTGCTCTTATTTACTCTTTTGACAATGGAAATAATAATCCAGTATTAGCTCCAGTAAGATCAGTATTAGCCACAAGGGGGCATGCCATCGACACAGAATCAACATCAGCTCTTGTTTTACTGTTGCTGCTGCATTCTTATGGTACTTATAAAAGTAGTTATTAGCCATTCTGTCCTTTGGGTAGCCCCACTAAAATTTGGCTGGATAGGATTGGCTAAGGAGCTAGCTACGTAACAGGTAAAAATAGACCTCAATTTCGTGTTCTGTAACAGCGTTAACCTAAACAAATATAGTGGTACATCCTCAGATGTATGCTATGGAAATGCTTGCTTGTAGCCTCGAGCAGATTAAGCCTAGTGAGAACAAATGATAGTTCTCAGGTAAGCTATGTCAAGTTATTATTCTGAAGCTTAGGACCACAGACCTTGTATGATATTTCCATTCTTAACTAGTAGCAAAGGTGCAGTATGCGATCTTTACTTCAAAGAATAGACTATCTGATTTTACAGATGGCATGTCTGTTTTCCTGAACGTGAAATACTTCAATGTTTGCTTGGAAGAGGAGCAAGATGTTACCAAGCAAAATGTAATCCTAAGAAGTAGTGAAATACTGTGAAGAAATCTGATTCCTTTATTAGCTTCATAATGATTAAAGTTACTCTCTTCCACTGTTTTGCTGAGATACACTTGACTGACTTGGAACCTATCATGGTAAAAGTATTTGGCAAGCTCTACTTGACCTTGTCCAACATTCTGAAAAAAAAAAGATGATTTCTTTTGGTCTTTTCTAGCCAAACACATAACCAAATTCAAGATTTGTACCCCAGTCTTCCAAAACTAGCAACAAAGAATAGACAAAAATGTTTGGGGGCTTGAAAAAGAGCTGAGAGTATAGTGATTCTCAGCAATCCTAACCCTGCTGGATTTGGGAATGAGAAGCACTTTAACTCAGTTGGACTTACTTTTGAGTTGGCATGTATAGGCTTATATTTCATACATCACATTGGGACATATATGGGAGGTGATCAAGTAGTAATAATATATTCAGGAGAAACTGTATTGGCTTGTTGCGAACATTTTTGAGAGTCATGCTTCTAAGTACAGTGGTACCTTGTGTTACAGACCCTTCAGGTTACAGACTCCGCTAACCCAGAAATAGTACCTCGGGTTAAGAACTTTGCTTCAGGATGAGAACAGAACTTGTGCTCCGGTGGCAGTGGGAGGCCCCATTAGCTAAAGTGCTACCTCAGGTTAAGAACAGTTTCAGGTTAAGAACGGACCTCCAGAATGAATTAAATTCTTAACCCAAGGTACCACTATATGTGTGAACAGCAAAAATGTTACTTCCCACCCTTGCCAGGACCATAAAACTTTTTTTCCACTTTACATTTTCATCAGCTCTTTTTTAGAGCAAGAAGGCAAAAAGGAAAGAAACAAATTCCTTTGTACAAGCTGCACCACCTTCCATTCCTAGTGAAAGCACTCCCCTACTCTATTTGATACCAAAGGTGTCAAAAAAATTGCTTACAGGCAGTCAGGTTGAAGGGATGATGCAAAGTTTACTATATCTGTACAGTCCAATGGAGAGGGGATTTGGCATTTCAGGAATAAAACGGTGTCTTGGATGCCCTTTCAGGCTGGCTGTTCACTAGTCCCCATTCAGCAAGGCTGCGGTAGCCTGATAACATTGTCTGTGTTTCCTCATCCATTGAGAAAATTCTGCCATTGTTTTAGAAGTGTGCCTGAGTGGCTGACTGGTTTTTATATGTGTGGAACTAATGCATCCTTCTGCTTTTGCTACAATAGAAATATTGCCATTTCTCCCCCTCCACCAATCTATTTATCTCTGAATTCTAAACCTTTGATTAGCTGTTCGACTTTGGACAACTGTCACTGGAGTGTAGATTGCCAAGAAAAGACGATGTATTCGTTAGCCTTTTCAGTATAGAGGCACAGCTTGCATTGCACATGACTCTCTTTAGAGTTCATAAATGTAATTTCCACTGTGAGTGAACAATGCTTTCTCTTGCATACTTTTTCTAGTATTAAACCATGTCTAGAGATAATGCTAGTTGGCCTCAACTGAGCATGAAGGGAAGGGGGGCTGGATTTGCTTCCCAGTACAGCATTGTCCTGTGTCCAGCGGTCCATCATCCATTGATTGATAAAGTGTCATTTCTGGGCATGGTGCTTTACAAAGTATAAAAGGAGAGATCCCTGCCTAGAGGAGCTTACAATATGAAATTCATTACTGAGGAAGGCAAAGGATATAAAGGCAATGGTAGCTCAATACTTTTGCTTTACGTGTATTTAGGCTTTGTTATTGTAGGATAAAGGTAAAGGGACCCCTGACCATTAGGTCCAGTCGTGGACAACTCTGGGGTTGCGGTGCTCATCTCGCTTTACTGGCCGAGGGAGCCGGCGTACAGCTTCTGGGTCATGTGGCCAGCATGACTAAGCCGCTTCTGGCGAACCAGAGCAGTGCACGCACGGAAACGCCGTTTACCTTCCCGCCGGAGTGGTACCTATTTATCTACTTGCACTTTTTGGTGTGCTTTTGAACTGCTAGGTTGGCAGGAGCAGGGACCGAGCAACGAGAGCTCACCCCATTGCAGGGATTCAAACTGCCGACCTTCTGTTCGGCAAGCCCTAGGCTCAGTGGTTTAGACCACAGTGCCACCTGTGTCCCTTATTGCAGGATAGGAGAGCCTTTTTTAATGCTGAGGTATGAAGTTAAATATACAGTGGGAGGGGGGAACGAAAGGGAAGGTGGCTACAGTGGATGTCACCTGCGTCTGTTTCTTAGGGTTGGAACCCCAATCTCAAACACAAATAAACTGCTGACCAGTCACCAGGCAGACTGACTCCAGCTACAAAAGCAGCTCCTAATGCTGAAGGAACCAGATACCATATTTGTTGTGAGCCCTGTGAAGACCTGCTTTGCTGGCTTTCAGATGCCCTGCTTGAAACCATGGAGTACAGCTGCCAGTCTGTGAAGACAGTACTCACCTAGAGAGTCTTAACTCGTTACAGTTGTGCCTTGGATCCCGAATGCCTTGCGAGTCGAATGCTTTGGATCCCGAACGCCACAAACACAACAGTGAGTGTTCCAGTTTGCCAGCGTTCTTTGGAACCCAAACTTCCAAGCACAGCTTCTGATTGGCTGCAGGAGCTTACTGCAGCCAATTGGAAGCCGTGCCTTGGTTTCCGAATGTTTTGGAGGTCAGACGGACTTCCAGAATGGATTCCGTTCGACTTCTGAGGTACGAACCTGTATAAGGCAGGTTCTGGTGTGCTAGCAGCTAGAATGGCTCAGCTAGATTTTTTCTGGCTTTGCATCCTCCAATTCTGGTAGCTGGTCAGAAGGGTGAAATTCTAATTGGGGCAGTAGCATTATGTCCAGACAGTAATCCTAGAGATGTGGCTCCAGTGCAATACTCATATTGCCTGTAATGTGAGAAACAGCCCTTGGGTAGTTCTTACTGTTGCTACCTTCTAGTTACGCCTTTTCTCCAACAAGCTCTGTCTTGTTATAGGGAAACAACAAAGCATGCCCGACTTCCTTCAGCGATTGTTCTATCTAAGGCTGGCATTAGGACGTGGGAGAGAGTAGAGGCTTCAGAGGTCATCCTGCTCTGAGCTGATATGTGTGACTAACAGCCAGTCTGCTGTAATGCTTGAAAATCAATTTAGAACTAGATGAAAGAAAAGTTCAGCCTGCTTTTGCAGCAGACAGCACTTTTTTGCTGCACGAACTCTGTGTACACTTGGAAGTGCCATTGATTTAACTTTGGTCTCTCCAGCTGCAACTGGGTTTACACAGGACGTCTCTGAAAAAGTAATTCTGCTTCTGCTGATTGAAAACCCTTTCCTTTCCGGTATGACTTGTATAGATTTCTCCTTTCGAAGTCCTGTTTGGAATTAACCAGGTACTCTCTGTAATTGTTGGGCTTGGGGAGAAGGAAATGAAAGACTGCCATTTCCCAACCCATCTGCTTGTGTACTTTCTTGTCTCAGTTGTTGGTGACTGCCTGAGCCCTCATCAGTCTTTCATCTCCCTCCTATGCAATTAGAATTGTGTGATAGAGTGGGGATGAGTACCTGTATACCTGAAGGAGTGTCTCCACCCCTATCATTCAGCCCGGACACTGAAGTCCAGCACCAAGGGCCTTCTGGTGGTTTCCTCACCGCGAGAAGTGAGGTTACAGGGAACCAGGCAGAGGGCCTTCTCGGTAGTGGCACCCGCCCTGTGGAACGCCCTCCCATCAGATGTCAAAGAAATAAACAACTATCTGACTTTTAGAAGACATCTGAAGGCAGCCCTGTTAATGGAAATTTTTAATGTTTGATGTTTTATTGTGTTTTAAATACTCTGTTGGGAGCCACCCAGAGTGGCTGGGGAGGCCTGGCCAGATGGGTGGGGTATAAGTATTGTTGTTGTTGTTGCTGTTGTTGTTGTTATTGTTATTTATTACCTTGGCCCCACCTTCTCTACACCCCCATTGCTTGTTCCCCTCCATGCGTTGGCAGACAGGGCCAATCCAAAACCTGGAAACAAGGACATCAATTGTCTAGAGAGGGGCTTTAAATTGCAGTCCTGGTTGATCACCACAGATTTTCCTATTCCTTCTCTGTCTGCTCTTAACAGGATGCACTGTCTTGCAGTCCTAACCACATCTGCGCAGAATTAAGCCCTGCTAAATTCAATGGTGCTCGCTCCCAGAAAGGGGAGTTATAACCGCAGTCTTAGAATATTTTCACATTACCGGGTACTCCACATCTTGGTGCTCTCCCGCTTTTAGTTTTTGAAGCCGCATTCGCATGGTGTACGATCTATTATCAATCCTGTAGTTACTCACCAAATACCAGCTTCAATCTGATTAGAAAACTTCAGCTGCATTTGATATGTACTACAGAACGGCGCGTAAATTTGAGACAGTGGTTGCGCATGCGCAGATGAGAGCTTCATGAATGGGAGTTGTGGAGGGGCTGCAGGGGTGGGGAATCTATCTGACTTTTAGAAGACGCCTGAAGGCAGCCCTTCAGGGAAGTTTTTTATGTTTGATATTTGATTGTGTTTTTAATATTCTGTTGGGAGCGGCCCAGAATGGCTGGGGCAACCCACTCAGATGGGCGGCATGTAAATAACAAAATTATTATTATTATGCATATTGGGTATCCCCACCTGCTCTCCGATGCGAACAACACTCTGCAAATGCAGATTGACACACAGCAGGGGAAAATGACTTAGTTTCATATTAAGCCAACCATGTGAACAAACCCTTAGTTGTGTTTGTTAAAATGCAGCGCTTGTAGCCACTTCTGCTTTCTCAGCTGTGAGAAGGAACAGAGACGGGGAAGCACTTAACTTTGAGGTAGATGTTGCATAACATCCCAGAGCTACTATTGATGGGAGGGGAGGATCTAGACAGACTTTACGAAGCCGCAGCAGCGCATGTTTAAAATGGTGCTCTAATCTGATTTATTCTAAGGTAACTGGATGAAAAGATGGGCAAGATAACTCGGGTCTTGCTGGCTTTGCTCAGTCTGAGCTTGAGCTTGGAGCTAGTTCACGCTCAGGAGCGATGGAGTGTGTTCCGAAGAGCTTTTCGGGGAATAAAGTATGGAACATCGTTGGGAGGAGACCCTGGAAAACCGCTGTTTCTAACACCTTACATTGAAAGTGGCAAAACTGAGGAAGGTAAAAGTGTTAATCTTGTTATTTTAAAATATGTAAATATTTCCACCTGTTCTTCATTATCTCCTGTGTAGAATTCTACACATAGCAGTAGAATGCATTAGTTAAGGGTGGGAAGCAGGTGGTGATGTGGTCTAAACGACAGAGCCTCTTGGGCTTGCCGATCGGAAGGTTGGCATATCGAATCCGCGTGATGGGCTGAACACCCCGCTTTGCTCTGTCCCAGCTTCTGCCAACCAAGTGCAGTTGTACCTTGGTTGTTGAATGCCTTGGTACTCAGATGTTTTGGCTCCCAAACTCCGCAACCCCGGAAGTGAGTGTTCCGGGATGCGAACGTTTTTTGGAAGCCAAACATCCAACATGGCTTCCATGGCTTCCGACTGAGTGCAGGAAGCTACTGCAGCCAATCAGAAGCCATGCCTTGGTTTTTGAACTGTTCCGGGAGTCGAACGGACTCCTGGCATGGATTAAGTTCAGCAACCAAGGTACCACTGTAGTTCGAAAGCATACCAGTTCAGGTAGATAAATAGGTACCTCTGTGGTGGGAAGGTAAACAGTGTTTACATGCGCTCTGGTTTCCGTCACGGTGTTCCATTGTGTACATCTTCCATATGAACTTTTAGTTCATCTGAAGGCAGCCCTGTATGGGAAGTTAATAATGTTTGATGTTTTAATATGTACTGGAAGCAGCCCAGAGTGGCTTGGGAAACCCAGCCAGATGAGCAGGGTATCAATTTTAAAATAATAGTAATTATTATTATTATTATTATAATACCCTGTCATGGGGATTCGAACCGCTGACCTTCTGATCGGCAAGCCCTAGGCTCTGTGGTTTAACCCACAGTGCCACCCGTGTCCCTAATTGATAGCCTTAACCTCTGTGAATTTGTCTACTCCAATTTTAAAATCACAGCTAATTTATTCTTAATCACAGACTTGGGACCGGATAATCCTTATCGGGAAGGCAGCATGCAGGGAGGGGAGCCATTGGAAAAAATACCCTATTGGTACAAATGATGGTTTTTCTTTCTTTGGGCTTGCACTCATTTTCTCTTTCCCTTACATATGACCAGAATGCCGACCAATACAAGCACTTTGTAATTGTTCGTGATGCTGAGAGAAGATGTTAAATATAGAGCAAATCCTCCATACGCTTATTATACTTCGCAAAGCTGCTTATTATTTTCGCTTTCTGCGTGTGTCTTGAAAAAACTGGAGTTAATTCCAATACAGGAGTTCTTCTAAAAAACTATTTTACTCAATGTCACAAATAAAAAACCATGTATCTCCCATGCATCTGAACTTCCAGACACTACTTAAAGCGTGTCCTCACTTAGCCATGAAGTTCACTGGGTGACCTTGGGCCAGTCACCAGAATAACCTACCTCACAGAGTGGTTGTGAGGATGAAATGGGGAGGAAGAGAACCACGTACACCACCTTGAGATCCTTGAAAGATAAAGGTGATATATAAATGTAAGAAATAAAATAAATAATCAGCCCGTCAGTCTGATGTTTTTTATACTTCTCATTTTTTATAACAGGAAGGCAATTAAGTCTGGTAGGCCATATTCCAGGACCCAATGTGAAGAGCTATTCGGGTTATCTGACCGTCAACAAGACTCACAACAGTAATCTTTTTTTCTGGTTCTTCCCTGCTCAGGTGGGTCTGTTGTTTTGATATGCTGCCATATTAAAGCTTTCAAAGGAAACTTCCATTTCAACAACGTAGATATTGGACAAGATCTGTGCTAGCTCTGCTGCTTCCCAAAATGAGTACAGGTTAATAATGTTTGGCATGTAGTACCAGGCTACATGGGGACACGGGTGGCGTTGTGGTCTAAACCACAAAGCCTCTTGGGCTTGCCAATCAGAAGGTTGGCGGTTCAAATGCCCGCAACGGGGTGAGCTCCCATTGCTTGGTCCCTGCTCCTGCCAACCTAGCAGTTTGAAAGCAGAAGGCAGAACATATAGCCAATTACAAATGTGAGTTATGTGCATCATCTTGTGATCAAACACAAGAGATTATTGTTTTCCATGCGCTGCTCTGGTTTGCCAGAAGTGGCTTAGTCATGCTGGCCACATGACCTGGAAGCTGTCTGTGGACAAACACTGGCTCCCTCGGCCTATAGAGCGAGATGAGTGCACAACCCCAGAGTCATCTGCGACTGGACCTAATGGTCAGGGGTACCTTTACCTTTATGTGGTGTTTATAAGCAGCCACCACAACAGCCCTGTGGGTGGGGATATTGGGAGATATAACTACAGTGGTACCTTGGGTTACATACGCTTCAGGTTACAGACTCCGCTAACCCAGAAATAGTACCTCGGGTGAAGAACTTTGCTCCAGGATGAGAACAGAAATCGTGCTCTGGCGGCGCAGCGGCAGCAGGAGGCCCCATTAGCTAAAGTGGTGCTTCAGGTTAAGAACCGTTTCATGTTAAGAACGGACCTCCGGAACGAATTAAGTACTTAACCCGAGATACCACTGTAGTTATGTGGCTGTATGTTTCGTACGTGGGAGTAAAGTGTTCAGAGCACATTTTGGACCAATAGGCAAAATGTATGCTGTGAAATGAAATTGACATGGAGAGTACATTGGTCAGTGAGTCCATGCTAGATTGGAACTGGAATCTACCAAACCCTGATCTAATATCCTATTCACATTTGCTTTGAAAAGTTTCTGTAATTGACTGCCATTATCGGCAAACCTAGACTTTTCCCTTTTGAAACAAAATGTTTCCCGCTTTGACACAGTTTTTCTAGCAGTTATCTGACTATTTTTTTTTTAAGTCAGCTTTCAAATTCTGGACTCTCTCTTTGCTCCCAGTACTAATGACCTAGCTTTTCATTTTTCATTAGAATATGTAGGAGAGTTGATTTAATTATTTGTAAATGAACAAAAAGCGATTAAATGAAATAGATAATATAAGAGTCCTCAGTTAGACTTGAGAGAGCTCTCTGAATAAAGTGAAGAGCTGAATTTAGAACCTGTTGCTCATGAAGATTTGCATTGCTTGATTCCTTGTGCCATTAATTCACACTGGCATAATGTGGTTCCAGAAAGGAATGAGTTGAATGAAACATATTTTTTGCACAGGTGGTTGCCAGAGAAACAAGTGAGCGATAAGAAGAATTCCAAAATCTATATTAGGTCAATAACTTTTATAAGGACAACCAAAATACTGCAAGTGTAGACGGTTCCAACTTTTTCTTAGTACTTTCTGTTTAGGAGATGGGGGAACTGACATGTTTAAAGGAGTTGGCAGTTTAGCCCAGATGTCTCTAAAATGAGTGAGATTTGAGACCACTTTAGAAAGAACAGCGGATGAGTTTTCAGAACGTTTTACAGGCAAAGACCTAAAACAACATCCTAGTGGCTTTTTCTGAAGAGATTTGAGCTTGCAGTATAAAACTGTGATATCTCAAAACAACTTGCTTAAGTTGACACAATGTTGAGAAGTTTATGCCAATAAGTCCCATTAGTTTTATATTTTTTAAGTGTGAATGTAATTTATTTATGGTTCACTGACCATGAATTATTTCAAAAAGTGTTTCTTAGCAGGATGCAAATTCTGAAGGCTCTTGGATGAAGTGGAAAAATAGGCTTTGCATAAGGACATCAACACTGCTTCAGTTTAAAGATATACTGTTCTGTTAGAAATGCAATATTATTAATCCCAGATGCTATGAGCAGCAGATTTGTTTCTGTGTTTAATACTTCTGTTGTAATCCTGGGCTCATTACATAAATAGCATAGTCCATCTTGTACAACTTATGCCAGAGAGGAAAAACAATTGGCAGCAGTAAATGTTTTATTTAGAAGAGACCCTGAATGGCTTTTCACAACCGATTTTGCTGGCCAATCTCATTTGTCAGCACTAATAAATAAATAATATTGCGGAAAAGAGTGAGTGTTGTGATAAAAGGGAGTGAAGCAGAAGAGTTTCAAGCTGGTTAAACTTCCATTACTTGGTCTTCAAAATGAGAGATGCACAGATGTTCACACAGAGTGCAATAATGATTGCTCTAGGTCTTTACCCTGTCACGCTGAATTTCTGTGAGGGGGGAGTTGTATCTCGCTCTTTCTCTTTTATGGCGGGCGGGCTATCCCATGTTGGAGTTTCCTCCATCTTTTGTTCTGTGCAGTCCAGCCCCATATAATTATATTGTGGCCTTGCTCACTATGACACAGTGGGAATCGGCAAGCTTTCGGGTACCCAGAAGGAAAATCATGGCCCTTTTGCTCCTTACCTGGACCTGTTGCTGCCATGCTGCCCAGATCAAAGCCATGGATTGGCTTCATATTGTCTTAGTCCCAACAAACCGTAGCCAACCTTTGTTCGTGACTTACCATTCATGGTTTCCCTGAGGGAAACAGACCACGAGTGCAGATTCACACATAACACTGAGCCAAACTATGGCTTAGCTCTGGGTAGCATGGCATTAGGAGGAGCGAAGAAGGACTGAAATTGTAGCATTTTCCCTTCTGGAGGCACAGAAGCTTGCTCTTTCTTGCTTCACCATGGTTTGGCTTAATGCTATGTGAAAACGAGGCCTGTGTTCATATGATCCCATTTGCTTTACTTCCTCTGTTTAAAGTCTGAAAATTTCTTTTCACTGTGCATGCAAGATACTAGGACTGTAGAGACATGGCTTACCAAGCGCGTGGTCACTCAGAGCATGTGGAAAGGTCTTGTGTTAGTTATAAAATTAACTACTGTATTTTTCTGTGTGTAAGACGATATTTTTTCCCAAATTTAAGTTTAAAATTGGGGGTCGTCTTATACACAGAATGTTGCAATTAAATATACAACAACAACAATCTTTATTACGGTCCAGAGACCCAACAAATCGTTACAAAGCAATACACAATTCAATATATAAATAAATACATGCCGCCTTCCATATTCTTTCCCCCCAGCCTCCGCTCACTATTGGCTATATATATTTTGTTGTTTAGTCGTCTAGTCGTGTCCGACTCTTCGTGACTCCATGGACCAGAGCACGCCAGGCACTCCTGTCTTCCACTGCCTCCCTCTATACACACACACACACACTAAATATATCAGTAAAGTTGTTCTGTTTGATGTTTATATATACGGTACTAAATATATCGGTGTTTTGAATATTTAATCAAATATCAGAGTTGTTGTGTTTGGTGTTTAAAATATTAATTTCTTAATTTTGGGCTCAAAAAATAGGGGTCGTCTTATACATGGGGGCGTCTTATACACGGAAAAATACGGTACTTATAAAGAAAGTGTTGGCATTTATTTCTCACAGTCTACCGAAATAATTCATGCATTCTGTAAATTTATGTGGGAATAGCTCCAATTTTTATTGTCCTTCTGGTCTGCAGGTACAAGCCGAAAAAGCCCCTATCCTACTTTGGCTGCAAGGTGGACCTGGAGGAACATCCATGTTTGGCCTTTTTGTGGAACACGGACCGTATGTTGTCAACAAGAATCTCACATGCAAGTGTTGTTTATTTCTATGTTGAAGGCTTCCAGCGAGATGTTACTATCATTACAGTTTTAACATTAAAAAAATGTAACCTGTTCCCTTATGGGTATGGAATTTGCATCTGTACTCTTTATGCTGCTGAGCAAATTAGCATGTCTTGCTGTAGCAGTTTGGGAAAGAATGATATTTGATCATTAATGGTATGAAATAGAAGTACCTTTTTTTTAAAAAAAAAAAATTTCCCCTCCCCCAAACTAAAAATGCATTTGAAATACATTTCCTATATTATCAGTGACAGGTTACGGGTTGTTATAATATTAGTTCACAGACTTAAAATAATATAGAAATATGTTTTAATAAATAAATTTTGCTCCTAAGGTGACATCCGTGTTATAGGAGAATGTGCACTTTTTCCCCAAAAAGTGCTGGGAGGAAAATGGATAAATAAACTGAGAGAGATTCCCAGTCTTACCATTCACAGAATCATGGAGTTGGAAGGGGCCAATGCAGGAATCTTTTGCCCTGCATGGGGCTTGAACCCACAACTCTAAAAGTCTCATGCTGTATTGACTGAGCTATCCAGTTACAGTACAATCCTGAGTCCGTGGTGTATGAAGCTGGCACTTGGCTGCATAAAATCATAATTTGATTTATAATATTTTTACATCAACTTAGGGCTAAAGCATTCTCAAGGATAGCTTGCAATATAAAATAGGATACAGAAAAATGATTCAAATAATCCACCAATAAACTATAAAGCAGCCTAAACATGTTTTAATCCATCAAAAATAAATGGCCTTTAGGTTTTGGAAATGTTTTCATCACACCATTCTCCAACCTGGTATGTGACTGATTATACTCGGTTTAAAAAATACCTTTAAAATTCTCACCACAAGTGATATGCATTGCTTTTTACAATTACGCTAGGTGCTAACATCTGTCTGAAGTACTTAGGTTTAGTTTTTTGTTTTTCTGTCTTGGTAGGAAATGCAGAACCATATGAAAATATTGTAAAATAGCCAATGCCATGTTTAATAGCCTAAAACAAATAATAGCATTTCTGTAAACATTGAAATATTGAATCCATCCAGCATGTTAACAATGCAACCTTCTCATTGCTGCGTCTTGTGATATAAAATGAGCAAAAGATGAATTCACTACAGTAATGTGCACCGAAATAATATCAGTGACAAAGTCTGGCCCGATAAATCCATTTTTAATATATACCTTAATCACAGCAGACATATACCTTAATGGGATGAAAAAAGTAATAGCATATAATGATATTTCAGTTGGCAACTTAATGCTATACAAGCTTGTGAAAGGCTTCATAGTTTTCTTTTTTTTTTTTTTTTTTTTTTTTAAAGCAATTTATTGGGTTTTACAATAAGAATAAATGTAATAAACAATATAGCATTCGTCTTAACATATTTTCACATTTTCTTTGGACTTCCTCACATCTCCCGCTCCCACCTTCATCATTATAACATTTTGTCAGCAATTTATCATCTTATTTAAATTCTTATATCTCTTCGATATTTCATAATCTTAAAGTTCTCATAAAGAGTTAAACTTTCACAATTTTTCTTGTTTCCTTAAAAATTTCTAAGTTAAGTGGTGCTCAGTTATTTAGTCCAGCATCTTATTCAGCATTCAATCAAATCACAATGTTTTTGTAGGTAGTTCTTAAATTTCTTCCAATCCTCCTCGATTCTCTCTTCTCCCAGGTCACGGATTCTGCCAGTCATTTCAGCCAGTTGCATATAGTCTATCAGTTGCATCTGCCATTCTTCCAGTGTGGGTAGATCTTGGGTTTTCCAATGTTTTGCGAGTAGTATCCTTGCTGCTGTTGTTGCATACATAAAAATGTCTGGTCCTTCTTTGCCACCCCTTGGCTGACAATACCCAAAAGGAAAGCCTCTGGTTTCTTAGTGAAAGTATATTTAAATACCTTTTCAATTCATTATAAATCATTTCCCAGAACGCCTTCACTTTAGGGCATGTCCACCAGAGGTGAAAGAACGTTCCTTCACACTCTTTGCATTTCCAGCACTTGTTATCAGACAGGTGGTAAATTTTTGCGAGTTTGACTGGGGTCATATACCATCTATAAATCATTTTCATTACATTTTCTTTCAAAGCATTACATGCAGTAAATTTCAATCCATTACTCCACAGCCTTTCCCAGTCCTCAAACATAATATTATACCCAATATCCTGTGCCCACCTTATCATAGCCGATTTAACCATTTCATCTTGTGTATTCCATTCCAACAGCAAGTTATACATCCTTGAAAGTATCTTAGTCTTTGGTTCTAACAATTCTGTTTCTAGTTTCGATTTCTCCACCTGGAACCCTAGTTTCTTATCACTTTTAAAAACTTCTTTAATCTGAGCATAGTGTAACCAATCTCGCACTTTGTCTTTCATTTTCTCCAAGCTCTGCAATTTCCAATTGTCTCCATCTTTTCTAGTATTTCCCAATATTTTGGCCATTTGGCCTCCATATTGGGTCTTTTCGGGCCTTAGCTTCCAAAGGTGAAAGCCACCTTGGTGTTTTATTTTCCAGCAAGTCTTTATATTTTGTCCAGACATTAAACAGTGATTTTCTAACAATATGGTTCTTAAAGGCCTTATTTGCTTTAACTTTGTCATACCATAAATATGCATGCCATCCAAAAACATTGTTAAACCCCTCCAAATCTAACACATCAGTGTCTTCAAGAAGTAGCCAGTCTTTTAGCCAGCAGAACGCTGCGGCTTCATAGTACAACTTTAAGTCCGGCAGGGCAAAGCCCCTCTTTGTTTTGCATCGGTTAGTATCTTAAACTTAATTCTGGGCTTTTGCCCTGCCAGACAAACTTCGAAATGTCTCTCTGCCACTTCTGAAAGCACCCCATTTTGTCCAATACCTGCAGTGTTTGAAATAAAAACAACATTCTTGGCAATACATTCATCTTAATCGCAGCAATTCGGCCTAACAAAGAAAGTTTCAATTTTGACCAACTGTCTAAGTCTCTCTTAATTTCTGTCCAACATTTTTCATAATTATCCTTAAATAGACTTAGATTTTTGCTGTTATGTTTACCCCTAGGTATTTTACTTTTTAACCACATTAAGTTCCGTCTCATTCTGAAACCGTTCTGACTCTGTCTCAGTCAGATTTTTCCCCAAAACCTTAGTTTTCTGTTTGTTTAATTTAAATCCCGCCACCCGACCAAAATCATTAATCAATTGTAATACTCTTTTCGTACTAGGCTCTGGCTTCTGCAAGGTCAAAACCAGGTCATCTGCAAAAGCTTTTAATTTATATTGTTTCTGACCAACCTGAATTCCTTCCACCAGCTGGTCCCCTCTGATCATGTTCAATAGCACCTCCAGGACCGAGATAAATAACAAAGGGGAAATAGGGCAACCTTGTCGTGTCCCTTTTTCAATTTTGAACTCTTCTGTAACCACATTATTAACTATCAGTTTTGCTTTCTGTTCTGAATATATCGCCTCAATCCCATTCTCAAAACCCCGTCCCACTCCCATCTCTTTTAAGTTTCCCATCATAAATTTCCAAGAAATGTTATCAAAGGCCTTCTCCGCATCTATAAAAATTAAAACAGCTTTTGTATTTATGTCAGTTTGGAGAAGTTCCAAAATATCAATAATGTTCCTTGTGTTAGCAAACAAATGTCTACCTGGGAGAAAACCGGCCTGGTCCTTGTGAATTACTTCATTTAAAACTTTTTTAAATCTACTTGCCAAAATATCTGCAAATATTTTGTAATCCACATTTAAAAGGGAGATGGGACGGTAGTTCTTCAGTTGTGTCTTTTCAGTTTCTGACTTTGGTATCAATGTGATAAACGCTTCCTTCCACGAATCCGGTGCCCTCTTCCCCTCCATAATTTCATTGCTAACCTCCATCAAAGGTTGTATCAAATAGTCTTTTAGTGTCTTGTAATACTTGGAGGTCAGCCCGTCTGGCCCTGGAGATTTGCCAAGTTGCATGTTCTGAATAGCTTGTTCAATCTCCTGTCGTGTTATTTTAGAGTTCAGGATTGTCCTATTTTCTTGTGACAGTTTAGATAATCCATTTTTGCCAAAAATTGTTTAATCTCAACTTCGTCTTGCGGCCCTTGGGTATATAATTTTTAAAATATCTCTGGAAACACTTTCTAATGTCCACTGGATTCTGAATGTTTCTTCCATCAACCTCTAAATTTGTAACTGTGTTTAATCTTTGTCTTCTCTTCAACTGCCAGGATAGCAGTTTTCCACATTTATTCGCCGACTCAAACGTTTTTTGTTTCATTAATTTGATCTTCCATTCAATTTCCTGATTTATCAATTTAGAATACTGTGTTTGATACAGTTTAATTTCTCTCAGAGTTGGCTGTGACTTTGGATTCACTCTTAATTTCTTCTCTAATTCTTTTATTTTATCCAAAATCTTGTCTTTTTTCTCATTTTGTGTTTTTTTCTTTACTACATTCTGTTGTATCAGGAATCCCCTCATGACAGCTTTGCTTGCGTCCCAGACGATTCTTTTTCCACCGAATTGTTCATATTTATCTCAAAGTAATCTTTCAAAACTTTTTGGGCCTTCTTGGTAATTTCCTGATCTCTAAACAAATTGTCATTCATCTTCCATCTAAAGGATCCAGTTGGTAGTAGTGTCATGTCCATCTTTACTGCGTTGTGGTCAGAACAGGTCTTTGGGCAGATTTCCACTTTTCTAACCCTAGGTGCCAGGCCTCTAGAGATCCATATTTGGTCGATTCTTGTCCAGGTCAGTTGGGCTTCAGAAAAGAATGTTCCTTCTCTACCTAGTGGGTTTTTTGTTCTCCAAATGTCGATCAAGTCCATATTGTCAGTCATTTCAAAAAAGGTTTTAGGTAGTCTGCCATCTTTTGTGATGTTTTGACTTTGCGACTTGTCCATGTTAGTTGACACGACCCCGTTCATGTCTCCCATCATTATGATGTTGTTGTAATCCAGATGATCCAGCATTGTCTCCTGCAACTTCTTGTAAAATTCCGATTTCCCTTCATTAGGCGCATAGATTCCTACTATCAGCAGTTTCTCTCCTTGATATTGTATCTCAATAGCCAAAATCCTTCCATGTTCATCTTTAAATAGAAATTTAGGTGACAGGCTCTCTTTTGCATATATCACCACTCCTCTCTTCTTCACTTTATCCGACGAAATAAATTCCTGGCCCAGTCTTTTATTTATTAACACTTTTCTGTGGAGCCTCGTCACATGTGTTTCTTGTAAGCAAATAATGTCCAATTGTTCTTTTTTTAATATATGAAAAATTTTCTTCCTTTTCTCCGGAATATTGCCACCATTAATATTCCAGCTCAACAGTTGCAGAGACATCCTGGATCTATCTGGTTATTTCTCCTGGGGTGGTGTCTTCTCTTGATCTTCAAGTTCCCGAGGTGGAGGTATTGATGCTGGCTTTGCCTCAGGCCCGGAAGGTAGTTCAATTCCTTTATGTAGGTCCTCTCCGTGTGTAGCCAGAAATTTATCTCTCTCTTCCAATGTTCTAATTTTAACCTTTCTCGCTCTAAAGGTAAAAGATAATCCTTGGGGAAAATCCCACCTGAATGGAATTGCGTTGCTCCTTAATAGTTTAGCTAGTTCGGAATAGGCGGCTCTAAGGTCCAACAGTTGTCTTGGGATATCTTTATATATCTCAATTCTTCTATCCAAAACTTCCAGTGACTTTTCGTAATGTAGGCCCAAAATCTTATCCCTTTCCTCCTTCGATCTCAATGTAATCAAACAATCCCTGGGCCTCTCCTTCTTTATAAATCTTCCAAGTCTAAAAGCTGACACAATTTTAAAGTCCTTTTCTTCCAAATTCCAGAACTTGGAAAGTTCTTTGGTCAAAAACTCAGTTAGATTTCCTTCTTCTGCCTCTTGTAATGATCTAATCCTCAAGTTATTCTCACGATTTCGCAGTTCTATCATAGAAAGATAAATCTGATGTTCCCCAACTTGTTTAGTGAGTGGTCTTACCTCTTGCTCTAAATTTTCCAATTTTTGTCTGGTATCCTCAGCCAATTTTCGATTTTCTACTGAGGCCTCCGTCAACTGTCCAATTGCTTGTGTATTCTGTCCCACCTGTGTAGTTAATTTGTTTAGACAATCTGTATTTTTATCAATCTTTGCTGATTGCGCATCTACTTTCTTGTCCAAAGCTTCCAATTTTTCAAAGATTTTTCTAGCACAGAAGCAGATGCTCCTGAGGCCATATCTTCCAATTGTAACTGCTCTACTTCACCCTCTCCCTCTTTTGCCTGTGGCAAGGCAGCTTCTTCAAGTTGTACTTCTGAGGGCAAAGTAGGCACAGATGATCTACGTGTCTGCGAGGCTGAGGTTAGATTTGTTAGAATTGTTTGTCTAACTCTTCCTCTTCTTCTTGTACCACTCATTCCAATGTTATCTATCAGTCAAGGTCACACTGAGTTTTTCCCACAGGAATAGAGAGGCCCAGAGCAAGCAGACAACAAGAGAATCGAAAGTAAATGTTTTTATAAAGTCACTGTTTTAATCCAATCCTCTAGAGGGAGCTTAAAATGTCTTTTCAGAGTCTGATTTAATGTCCCAGAACCTTCCAATATAAGTATTAAGCAGAGTTTAAAGGTAATCACTTTGTTGCAGACAGTGCTTATTTATCTCCAAAAAGAATGTTTCAAATTTAAAAGGTCTCAATGCCCTCAAATTGTTGCAACTTCTAGTATACAGTATCCAAGTCAAACACTGACAGCCCACTGTTACAGTGCTCAAGCAATCCTGACTCTGGATTTCGCCTTCCAATTTGTAATCCAATAAAAGGGGGAAAGTCAAGTGCAAATAAAAGGTCCAAATCTTTAACTTGCTAATTTTACTTTAAATTGTAAGTTCCATAGATGCTTGGCTGTGTAGAGTTTAAAATCTCTTTCTTTCAGCCTCCACTCCTCCACCTTAGTTGCTTTTTTTTTCCCAAGTTCAATGGCAGCGGAAGACGGACTTCCTGTTTCCACGTCTCTCCGCTTTCAGCCAAATTCAAGTCAATTTAAACCTTCTCATTAAAATTTGTAATTCCAAGTGATTCAGTCTTTACTCACAAGTAGTTGTTTTCTTCCACGTCCGAATTTTAACAGGAAAAGGGATCAGCGCTCACCGGCAGCAGCAGCGCGGCTTCACTCCGCTGACTGTGAAACGGCTCACAGCGCCGCAGCCCCCCTCCACGCTCCGGAGCCTCTTACGAGGCTCCTTCTGCAGTTGGAGGGCTGCTCTTGGCGCCAGCCGAGCCTCATGACCCCAGGCTCTTGCTGCCTGGGGTTTTTCTCGCTGGGTCTCCGCTTCGCCGTAGCGGACGACCCGATTTCAGCGGAGCTTCTTCTCCGGTCGGGAGAAGACCGCCATTACCGTTCGCGCCGCCCCCGGAAGTCTCGGCTTCATAGTTTTCTTCTGTGGTCTCAAAATGTTGAATAGTGGACCCTACAGTTCAAGCACACCTTGATTATTGACTTATTGGGTAACTTTGGCATGTTAGCCTACAATCCACCTGGGAGCAAGCCCTGCTAAGTTCAGTAGGACCTGACTGCTGAGTAGATATACTGTATTTTTCGCTCCATAAGACACACTTTTTCCCTCCTAAAAAGTAAGGGGAAATGTGTGTGCGTCTTATGGAGTGAATGCAGGGGGAGGCAGGCAGGAAAAGCCCCCAAGAGCCGCACACAAGCTCTGTTTGGCTCTTGGGGGCTTTTCCTGCCTGCCAGTCAGTCCCTTCTCCCTCCTTGTAGAAAAGCCCGCAGGAGCTGCGTGCTCCTTAAAGGGTGCGTGGCTCCTGTGGGCTTTTGCGGGAGGTGGGGGAATTGCCATAGCCGCGTGCAGCCTCTCCTGGCTGGATCCCGCTCACTGTCTTGGCTTCTTTGCTCTTTGGGGCTGGGGGGGGGGACTGGGGCTTCCCCCGGCAGCCCCGAGAAGCCTGTCCGGTGTTCTTTGGGGCTGGGGGGGGAAATAATATTTCCCCCCTTGATTTCCCCCTCTAAAAACTAGGTGCATCTTATGGTCCGGTGCGCCTTATGGAGCAAAAAATATGGTAGTTAGACTGATGCTAATGATTCAAGCTGTAGACACTCGACTCTCATTTTCTTCCGTGTTGATAGTGTCTGAACGAAAATTTCCTTGGACCTCCAGGTTTTCCATGCTCTACATTGACAATCCGGTAAGTGAACAACGGAAAAGCTTCATGTTGCGTATCTAAATGTGTCTGTTGAGAAAAAAAAACTTTTCTTCACAGCAACAATTGCCTTAACCCTTATGTTCTTGCATCTTAAAACGTTGTAATTTTATCTGTTACATGTAAGGATAGTCACTTTGTCAACAGCCCTTTTTTCCTCAACGTGGTATGGCATTTAAGAAGGATCTCGTGTAGGGGAAACATGGCTAGACAAAATCTTTGGGCAGCTGCCAGGGCTAACGACTGATGCGGACCCTATGGACCCACCATGCTAGGTGCCTGGGGCTGCCTCTCAGCAGATATTTTTATTATTATTTCCAGTGCCCCACAATGTGGGGTTCTACCAGTGAAGGAGGGGTCCCTTCAGATCTGGAACTAGGTCTGTGCTGGCTCTCTACTAACTATGTGGTGGGCTCAGGTCCAAACTAGTCATGACCCACAATATACTTCCTCTGGCTCTTTAGGTTTTAATCAAGCTGAAGCTGAATTTGGGCAGACTGAAGGGACGAGACTGGCTAACCCTTTCGCGCACTGACAGTTTCCCTGTTCAAAATCCCTCTCAGTTAAGGGGGAAAGTTATAGGAGTGAAGGTCTGAGTGGAAAACACTGCTGATTGGGATGTATAATTCCACCCTTCCATTTTTGTGTGTGTGTGATCCTGTGTGTGATTTTAATTCAGCAGCAGCACTCTGAATTCTCTCTTCGCCTCTTTGTGGTGACTCTGGAATATATTTACTTACAATTGAAGGTTGCCTGAGAACTTGGTAGATAAATTCCTAACAGTCACCAGAAAGCTTATTTTAAACAAAGGTTGAAATATATGTCCCCCTTCCTTTATTGACAGGAAAAATTTGGAACTATTTCTGTGTGCCTTGATTTGAAATGTGGCATGTCGCTGAATTTTCTCACATCTTGAACACTGTGCTAGAATAATCCTAACTATGCTAGAATAACGAAAATGAGTCTTATTAAAGGAAGGTTCACAAGCTGCATGTCTGGAGGAATCCAGATCTTCTAATGGACTAATTGCAAAAACAGGTTTTAAAACTCCATTTGCAACTGTAGGAGAAACCATATACCTAACAGAATATCATTTTGCTTGATGTCAAAAACAGCAGCGAAAAACTGGAAGATAATTGTTCCACATATATTTTATATTCTCTTTTGCTTTCAGGTTGGAACTGGCTTCAGTTTCACAGATGATGACGCAGGTTATGCAGTGAATGAAGATGATGTAGGAAGAGATTTGTATAGGTAAATCAGCCGATACAAGTTGCATTTTCTTCTGCTAAGCTTTTGAAATGCACCAGAAAAGTCAGCGCTTGCTGACACCTTCTGGAGAACTTTCGAAATATTTATATAGTAAAATGTTCTTTATCCCCGTCTCATTTTAAGGAAATGATTATGTAAGCATTGGGTGAGATCCTAGACTCGTAGAATTGTAGAGTTGGAAGGGATCACATGAGTCATCAAGTCCAGGAATCTTTTGCCCAACATGGGGCTGATCCAATGTTACTCATACTCAGAGTAGGCCTTGGAAATTGATGGATTTAATTACCGTAACATCAGTCCATTGATTTCAGTGGGTCTTCTCTGAGTATGGTTTAGTTCAGGGGTCAGCAAACTTTTTCAGCAGAGGGCTGGTCCACTGTCCCTCAGACCTTGTCGGGGGCCGGACTATATTTTTTTTTGGGGGGGGGGAATGAACAAATTCCTATGTCCCACAAATAACCCAGAGATGCAATTCAAATAAAAGGACACATTCTACTCATATAAAAACATGTTGATTCCCAGACTGTCTGTGGGCCGGATTTAGATGGTGATTGGGCCAGATCTGGCCCCCGGGCTTTAGTCTGCCTACCCATGATTTAGTTGGATATTGCCCTTGGCATCCGGACTTAACAGAATGGTGTGTGCATGTTTTCAGATGCAGAGAATAGCACAGTAGAGAGCTTTTAAACATCCCTTTCCAGACAGTGGTTTTGTTAAGTAATATATGTGCAGTTTTCCCTCATTCTTGAGACATCAGGCAATACATCTGTCTGATTTCATCTGCCTCTTTATAGATTCCCCGGTTTTTTTTAATTCATCCCTCTCCTCTCCTTACAGTCTAGATGGTTGTGTGGGAAAGGTGAGGTCACTCTGAATAAGAATGATGCTTGGTGACAGAGACAGCAGAAATGCAGACTCTGTCTTCCTTCAAGGTGGAAAATTGGGGTTTCATGGCCCAAGCAGAAATGATGTCACGTGTCTTCCTGCTTGTCTCCTCCCCAAGAACTTGTACATATTGCAGCAGAAAATGTCTCTGTTTAAGCACTGTATCTGCAAGGAGCATTTTAAAAAGTGTGCTGAGACTTCTGCATATTTGTTAATTAATATTACAGTGGTACCTCGGGTTAAGTACTTAATTCGTTCCGGAGGTCCGTACTTAACCTGAAACTGTTCTTAACCTGAAGCACCACTTTAGCTAATGGGGCCTCCCGCTGCTGCCGCGGCCTAATTTCTGTTCTCATCCTGAAGCAAAGTTCTTAACCTGAAGCACTATTTCTGGGTTAGCGGAGTCTGTAACCTGAAGCGTATGTAACCTGAGGTACCACTGTACTGTGAAATAGATTGTGTGTGTTGGGATGAGATTAATGCTGTGACACTTCTCTGTAGTTCAATTTTTGAGACAAAATGTATTTTGCGGCTGAAGGATAATGTCACACTTGCCTGTGACCATATTTTCACGAGCGAATGTCACCCTGCTTCTGTTGAGGTGCAGCTGCCGAATAAGTTAGCAAGCTTTCATTTTCATCACTATGACATTTGACTACAACCTTTCTTAGTGCAGATATTTTTACCTGTACTTCGTCTGTTATTTCAGTGCCCTCATCCAGTTTTTCCAGCTCTTTCCTGATTATCAGAAAAATGACTTCTACGCAACAGGAGAAGTAAGTTCAGATAACTTTTAATTCTTGAACTGTGTAACTTGTGAACATGAAGATCGTCGAAGAGAAATTAAGGAACTTTTTGTGGACCTGTCCCCCCCCCCCGCCCAGTTGGATTTAATTTTAAATTACATTTCCTAGTTACAGGCACATCTATCAACATACTTTGAACAACAGTATGTTTTATAATTAGTAAAATAATGAAAAATAATATCTATAAAACAGCCAGCAGGGGGAGCAGAAAGGACCAGAACAGTCCCTTCCAGATTAAAAAATGTGTTGTTACCTAGCGATTCCCTTTCCCAGCCCAAAAGTACATTTTCTGGTAGATAACTTTGGCCTCAGCATTTAGTCTGGCAGTGTTTCTTTTAAAAATTAAGAGCTTAGGTATTTCTAGAGGAGCTTTCCCCATTGATCCTTGCTTTGCTCCTGAAATTGATTTCAAAACCTATCCTCCCCCCAAGAGAGAGAAGGGAACCTCTTTGGTATTGCAACTACAGTGGTGCCTCGCAAGACGAAATTAATCCGTTCCGCGAGTCTCTTCGTCTTGCGGTTTTTTCGTCTTGCGAAGCACGGCTATTAGCGGCTTAGCGGCTATTAACGGCTTAGCGGCTTTAAGAAAAAGGAAACACACTCGCAAGAACTCGCAAGACGTTTCGTCTTGCGGAACGACTCAAAAATCGCTAAACCCTTTCATCTAGCGAGTTTTTCGTCTTGCGAGGCATTCGTCTTGCGGGGCACCACTGTAAAAGCTATCTGTTGCTCACTGCCTCTAACAACTTAAGCAGAGCCACTCTTTCTTTGATACTAACTGCTAAAACGTGTGACATTCTAGTCAAGAGATACTGCTTTCATTACAGCTTTGTTCTACAAGTCTCCTTTGTCTCTGAAGATGTAGATCCCATCTTGATTTTTCTGGCAAAGAAAGCTTCTTTAATTTTTTGCTAACAGAGATACTTGTCTAGGAAAGAAATCTGCAGTGTGGGGTGGGAGAAAAGAGAGTCGGATTTCATTGTGCCTTTTGCCTGTGGAGACTAGGGATCACCTTCTTGGTTTCACATCATAAAAAGCCTCCTAAGAAAGGAAAGATGGAAGAGGCTTGAAACAAACAGTTGCCGCGCAGCCTCGTGACGGGTGAAAGGTCAGCTCTTCATTGGCAGAAATTGAGACAAAAGGCCTGAATGCCTAAAGAGGCTGAGAGTATTAGTATATGCTCCTTTGTATATGCTTATCTTGCATTAAGTTATATCTTACCATATCTTCTGCCGTGCACCTGATATCTGCAGTTTGGACTGGGTTACCAATATGCAGAAGCACTAATAGATCCATGGATTAAGCCCTTCCCCGTCTGTTGCCCCTTGTTCCCCATGTCTTCATTTTCGCTGAGTTGGCTGAAGGTTTCTGTTCTTATCCCTCTCCCCTCATTGATCAAGAACTTTGGCTGCGCCTCTCTCCCAACACCTTCCTCGATTACTTTTCAGATGGCTTGTAATAACTTCTGGTTACCTGCTAAATCTTTCCATTCCAAGCACTAGCCGCATGTTCAAGTATGATTGAAAGTCATGGTTCAGAGGTGACCCAGGAAAGCAGGCTTCATAGACAGCCTGGAAGAGTGCTCTATCCAGCCTAATGGCACATTCGTATTTAGGATTGGCCAGCACAATATTGCAACTCATTGATTCATTGGTTTTGTAAGTTCATGGGTTATTCCAGCTTTGCAAGCATTATTTAGCCGGTTGGATACATGTACAGTAGTACCTCGGGTTACATATGCTTCAGGTTACATACGCTTCAGGTTATAGACTCCGCTAACCCAGAAATAGTACCTCGGGTTAAGAACTTTGCTTCAGGATGAGAACAGAAATTGTGCTCCGGTGGCACGGTGGCAGCAGGAGGCCCCATTAGCTAAAGTGGTGCTTCAGGTTAAGAACAGTTTCAGGTTAAGAGCGGACCTCCAGAACGAATTAAGTACTTAACCTGAGGTACCACTGTACATCCGTTTGATTTCCAAAACGTTCAGAAACCAAAGCCCGGCTTCTGATTGGCTGCAGGAAGCTCCTGCAGCCAATCGGAAGCCACAGAAGCCCCATCGGACGTTTGGCTTCCAAAAATAGTTCGTAAACCGGAACAGTCACTTCCGGGTTTGCCGCATTTGGGAGCCAAAACATTTGAGAAATAAGCTGTTCGGAAACCAAGGTACGACTGTACTAGGAAATAAATGACTTTGATTACAAATTTAATTAGTGTACTCAGTTAAAAGGTTGAAGGATTTTTAAAAAAAATCATTTAGGCAGGAATCTAGTTGGTACACACAGAAAGTCTTTTGATCCTTTGCTAAAAGGAGAGGGGAGGTAAATTTTGCCCATTTGCTGTCTCTTTTGCACCATCCAGAACCCAAAAATCAACTCGGGAGATCCTCCATAACATTGCATGGGGAGAAGATGAATCAGAATAAATGCCCCGTCCTCTATGAGCTCCTTCTATGAGCTTAAGAGCACAAATTCTATTGATTACTTACAGCCTTAATAATGAAAACTAGCAGGTGCAAATCAAATATTTTAGATGCAGTTATACTGCATAAAAGCATTTATCTTTGGAGCACAATATCAAGTCGCCTACATGCACAAACCTCTTGTGTTTATGCTTTTTGCTGTGGCCAGATTGTTAGTGGCCTCCCATTAGAAGTCCAAATCATCTCCTTCCCGAGAGGAGTGGCTATCAAAAGTATGGGACATTGCACTGTCAGAACATCCGACACATGTATGGAGAGTCCTTAACAGTTCATTAAAAATAGATCTTTTTATTTCACATGGTATAAGATCTTATCCTAACGTAAACTCAGTTGAACAGCCCACCAAACCCGAGATGAAAATGTGGAGACGCTTTATGGAGAACTGAATTGACTCACATACACACACCCTTTTTAAAATATATGATAGTTGAATGCATTATTGTATTCTCAGCTTTCAGGTTTTCTTCCCCATTGTATTTTCATTTTATTTTTTCTATTTCTGCATGCAATTTGTATTGACTACACCTATCACTTTCGATGTATTTTCTATGTGTTTATATCAATAAATAGAATTTTTTAAAATGCATGAAAGCTATTCATACTACCTTTTTGTTTGACTGTATTCTTCAATATCACTAGTCCTATGCAGGGAAGTATGTGCCTGCCATCGGCTATTATATCCACACCCGTAATCCTACGGCAAAGATAAAGATCAACTTTAAGGGTGTTGCCATTGGAGATGGTCTCTGTGACCCTGAATTGGTAAGGTTTCTCCATATTGTGTTTAATTAATTTATTATTATTATTTTTTACAAAATCAGAAGTGGATTGTGATTCTCAAATTGCGGGGAAAGGATAACGGAAGAAAGGGAAAAAAGAGTATTGTTCCATGTAACTTTCTAATTTCAGTAAAACTTTAATTAGTTTACCACCTGTTTCTCAAGAGCAAATTAGCTGCGATCCTGCAGGGAACTAGACTGCTTATAAATGCCACCAAAGTTTTATTGCAGCTTTGGCAAACTATTTAAAATTTGGAAGCATGCTTTAAAAAATAGATAAATCTCTGCTAATGCACTGCCTTTATTAAAAAAAACGGGCATTCTAGAAGATTAGAATAATCTAGACTAATATCGCTGAGTTTCTTGATTCCCTTTGCAGATGTTTGGTGGCTATGCAGAATTGTTATATCAAATTGGCTTGTTGGATGAGAAGCAGAAGGCGTTTTTCCGGCAGCAGACTGATCTGGCAGTAATCTACATCCAGCAGAAGAAATGGAGAGAAGCCTTTGAAGTACGTATTAGAGGCCCACATGCTGGCCTCCAGCAATTAAAACCATCTGAAGAGAGTAAGGGGGTCAGAAGGAAGCAGAATGGAGGTCACAAGCTCCGCTCTGGAAAAAGGTGTCCATTTATATTGCAGCAGAAGGGCAAAGAGAGTGAGAACTAATGGAGAGAAAAATCACCATCCAATGTTTCTACAAAATTTACCTTGGCCTCTTTTCAGAATTGAGTGCTGTGGCATATGTTTACATAGGCATCTCTTTCATGAATTGCTTTAGTTTTTCTAAGTCTGTGCTTGTATGCCCTAAAGGTTTAGCTTATCCCCAGGAAATCAGGAAAGATGCAGTCGTGGAACTCGTTGCATATGCTTGAACACACGCCTGAAACCTTTCTATATCCATGAATAATGGCTCCAATTTTTAACCCCCACCGAAAGAGTGGAAGGCGAAAACAGCAGCACACACTGTGGGCTGGCGTTTTGCTCTGAATTTGCGGCGTTTTGTGTTTCCCGCGCAGTGATGTCACGAAGCAGCCTTCGAATGTGTGCAGCAGTAAGCCGCTAACAAGTTACTTACTGCAATACAGTGCATTTTACAGAATAATTTGTCTAAATTGAGAAATAACCTTTAAAATGCGTATAACTGTGTGGCTTGTATTTCCTCCCCTTGGGAAGATCCACCATGCTGACTTATATTCTCAGCATTCCAGTTTATATCCATGCTACACATTAGCTTGTTTCATTTATTTATTTTATTCACACACACACACACACACACACACACACACACACACTGCTTGATTATAAGGAAACCTCTAAACTCTTAGCTATGGTAGAGCAGTGAATATCGTGTGCACAACACAGGCAAATAACAGATTGGAGCAGCATTCTAGATTAGATCTTCATGGGGGCTGGCAGTGGGATCGGGGAAGTTGAAGTGGGTCAAGAAACTGTGCCTTCCAAAGTTTGAATATGGTAATCAGTTGGCCCCAAGAACAGAAGAAAAACCCTTCATAATAATAGTAATAATAATTTTATTATTTACATGCCACCCATCTGACTGGGTTGCCCCAGCCACTCTGGGTGGCTCTCAACAAGATATTTTAAATGCAATAAAACATCCAGCCATTGAAAGTTTCCCTGAAAGCCTTCAGATGTCTCCTAAAAGTCAAATAGTTGTTGCTCTGTTTGACATCTGATGGGGAGGCGTTCCACAGGGCAGGTGTCACCAGCGCCGCCTTTACCCGGGGGTGCAAGGGGTGCGGGGTGCCAAATGCCAAAGACGGCCCTGGAGGTTGTAGTTGGACATCCCCATCCACAGGAACTTTTAGAGGGGAGATCTGTTCACCGTGGATGGGTGCAGGAAAGGCGTGCAAGCCCAGGTGAGGGCGTGGAGGACCCAGCGTTGTGGGTGCCGCATGGTGGCTCCTCTGCTGGCGGAGCTTTTCCTTTCCGCATCCTGTCCGTTTCCTTTCCTTGCTGTGCTTCTCCCGTGCCCTGCGTAGCACTGCCCAGGTCCGTCTCATCCCGCGACAGCACCCTAGTCCCTCAGCAGTGTAGCCTGGGAGGGAGTGGAGCAGCGGCAGTTGTTACAGGTGAGCGATTTCTCCCTCCCCTAAAGACGGCCCTGGATGTCACTACTGAGAAAGCCCTCTGTCTCGTTCCCTGTAGCTTCACGTTTTGCACTAAGGGAACCACCAGAAAGCCCTTGGAGCTGGATCTCAGTGTCCAGGCAGGACAGTGAGAATGGGGATGCTCCTTCAGGTATGCATGGCGATTCAGGGCTTTGAAGATCAACACCAACACTCTGAATTGTGCTCAGAAATGTACTGGGAGCCAGTGTAGATCCTTTAGGACCAGTGTTATATGGCCTTAATATTTCATTGCTCAGGTACACTCCACAAAGCATCTCCTTGCTACTTGTGGCCAACTGAATTATGCCGAGCATTGCGGTTCCTTAGAATTTTTAACCCATCAGAAACCATATTTTGAACTGTTTTTCTTTCCATGGCTCTCTTCCTCCAGGTGTTTGATGTTCTGTTGAATGGCGATGAAATTGGAACTGCTTCCTTCTTTCAGAACGCCACAGGGTGTAGCAACTACTTCAACTTCATGAAGTGCCAGGTAAGCCACCCTTAGACTAGGCATTCTGGTAATGTGCTTTCAAAGCTATGGAATTAACTTGGGCTACTGCTCTATCAGAGGGACGCGGGTGGCGCTGTGGGTTAAACCACAGAGCCTAGGACTTGCCGATCAGAAGGTCGGCAGTTTGAATCCTCATGACGGGGTGAGCTCCCAACCTAGCAGTTCGAAAGCACGTCAAAGTGCAAGTAGATAAATAGGTACCGCTCCGGCGAGAAGGTAAATGGCGTTTCCGTGTGCTGCTCTGGTTTGCCAGAAGCGGCTTAGTCATGCTGGCCACATGAACCGGAAGCTGTACGCCGGCTCCCTTGGCCAATAAAGCAAGATGAGCGCCGCAACCACAGAGTCGGCCACGACTGGACCTAATGGTCAGGGGTCCCTTTACTGCTCTATCAAGAGCGATTGGAAATGGTGGTAACAGTACTGGAGCTTGGGGAAATGATCCCTCCCTTTCCCCCCCCTGTTGGTGCTTAAATCTCAGCACATGCTTAAGGTCAAGAGATGAGTGGGATGTTTTACACCTAGTGTGAAGGTAACATGAGGAGGTCTTTAGCATTGTGCAAATACTGCAGACGATTCACCTAGGATGCGCCTGTCTCTCCACTTGCGAAAAACCCAACAGCTGGAGAGAAAAAGGAAGGGTTTTCCCCTACCACCCCATGAAGATTAGGTCTATCGATGGCTATTGGCCTGGTGGCTAAATGGAATTTCAGTATTTAGAGGTGCTGAGAGAGTGCTGTTGCCTTCATGCCCTGCCTGTAAACTTTCTAGAAGCATCCAGCTAAGCACTCTTGGAAGTTAAGACTAGTTTGACCTTTTCTCTGCAAGTTTCTCCCCCCTAAGTTCTTATGGGAAATAGTGCAAGATGAAACAGTTTCCCTAAGTTAAAACTTGATATTTGTGTTGCCTGCATGGGACATTGTTTAATGCAAGTAAACTCAGTCTGGCACAGTGACAAATTAATGTGGCTGTACATTTTCACCAACAGCAAACCTTTTCCCCCCCTCTCTCATCTGATCAATTACCAAATGCCACCAGTTTTCATGACCTGCTGGGATTTTCCCCTTATGAAACTAATAGACTTGAACACTTTAAATTGCTTCATAATTTCAGACTTAACTGACCCCTGCAGTTTCATGTTTAACACTATCCTCACTTATGCGATGTTTTGCATGCTTCAGTGCTAGGTAGGATAACTAGGGAATATACCGTATTTTCCGCCCTATAGGACGCACCGTCCCATAAGGCGCACCTAGTTTTTGGGGGGGAAAATAAAAGGGGGGGAATTATTTCCCCCCCCAGGCGCGGGCCTTGGGCAGGGGAAGCCCGAGCTTCCCCCGACCCCAGCCCCCAGAACAGGCAGCTCTCTGCAAGTCGTGGGAGCCCAGCACCGGCTCCCGCTGCTTGCGGAGAGGTGCACGAAGCCTGGACGCGCTGAGCTCATGCACGTGCAGGCTTCAGCATGCAGGCAACTCTCCGCAAGCAGCGGAAGCCCAGCGCCGGGCTCCCACTGCTTGCGGAGAGGTGCGCGAAGCCTGGAGAGCAAGAGGGGTCGGTGCACACTGACCCCTCTCGCTCTCCAGGCTTCAGCGAAAGCCTGCATTCGCCCCATAGGACGCACACACATTTCCCCTTCATTTTTGGAGGGGAAAAAGTACGTCCTATAGGGCGAAAAATACGGTGATTTTATTGTGTTGATTTTTTGCAGCCATTTTTATCTTTTTCATCTTTTGTTTAATAGGAACCTGCGGATCAGGAGTACTTTGGACAGCTGTTAACATTGCCAGAAATAAGGAAGTCTATCCACGTTGGCAACCTGACATTTCATAATGGCTCCATGGTTGAGAAACATTTGCTTGAAGATGTGATGCAGACAATAAAACCATGGCTGGCTGTCCTAATGGATAACTACAGGGTAAGTAGGCTGCCAAGCCCAGCCTCTTAAATTTAAGAACCTGCAGAACTGCCTTAATTTATTATTTTCCAAATATTTAACCTCCGAATATTTAACACCTACTCCCAACTTCTAATCAGCCATCCCTAAAACAGAACCAGAATAGTTTTAGCAATTCAGTGATAATCAGTGTTGCAGCGATGTGTGACTTCAGAGAGATTAGCTGATTAACTTTGCATTTCAAACCTTTACCCAACATTGGAGAGGATAGCTTTGTGTTGTAGCATGTAAAGTGTCTGTTTTTTTCTGGCATTCTTTTTTTTTGGGGGGGGTGGTGGTCAGACTTGGTTAGTAGAGGTGATGAAGTCCTCCGTTGGAGACTGTAGCACCTCAGTTCTCATGCGTATATGTTGCAGGGACTTTTCCCCATATAAAACACATAGCATTTCAAGAGAGCTAACTTTCGAAGCTGGTGAAATACTTCTGCACCGGTGGTTGAAGTCCTCATCTACAGGACAACACTGCATCTTAGCAACTGTATTTGTGCTTGAATGTTTTGCTCTTCCACAGCACCTGTTCAGCTTTAGCCAGCAGATCCATTGTATTATATGTGTTATTATTTTATATATATTTATAAAAGTATTTCTGTACGGTCGTACCTTGGAAGTCAAACGGAATCCGTTCCAGAAGTCCGTTCGACTTCCAAAATGTTCAGAAACCAAAGCACGGCTTCTGATTGGCTGCAGGAAGCTCCTGAAACCAATCGGAAGCCCCGTCGGACGTTCGGCTTCTAAAAATAGTTCGCAAACCAGAACACTCATTTCCGGGTTTCTGGCATTCGGGAGGCAAAACATCTGAGTACCAAGGCGTTCAGGATCCAAGGTATGGCTTCATAAAATATCAGGATTACATACTACAACGAAATACAAAATGCCACTAAAAGCAATGCTTTTAATCTTTGATGTGCCTGGCTAATCAAAAACAGGCAGAAACAGATGTATAGGCCTGTTGGCATAAAAAGATCCTCAAGAGAGACAACAGCAAGGCTGTCTGCCAAATCTCTGCAGTGAGAATGTTCTGTAGCAGAGGACTGGTGACGCTAAATGTCTGACTTTCTAGCTGAGGCCAGTTACGCCCCTGTAACATGGGTGACAGCTAACAGCACTCTTCCAGATAATCTCTATGATTGATCTGAGATATAATGGCTCAGGTAGACTGTAAGGCACGGGGCTGGATGCGGCCCAATTGCCTTCTAAATCTGGCCCGTGGACGGTCTGGGAATCAGCATGTTTTTACATGAGTAGAATGTGTGCTTTTATTTAAAATGCATCTCTGAGTTATTTGTGAGGCATAGGAATTCGTTCATTCCACCCCATATAGTCCGGCCCCCAACAAGGTCTTAGGGACAGTGGACTGGCCCCCTGCTGAAAAAGTTTTCTGACCCCTGCCATAAAGTATACTGGGCCGAAGTTGCTCAAAACCCTGAACCTGGCCTGATAGCCTATGGGAAGTCAGTGGTGTTTCAGGAGTTCCCATAGGCAAGTCTGTTGCTGTTGTAAAACAATAGAGGCTTGGCATTTTTTGCTTTTCTAAGTGCTGCCCCAGGAGGTCAACTACAGCTGTCTAGTAATGAGAGTAGATAAGGGAGCAGATTACTTGCTTCTTACTTCCTGATCTAGTTTGGTAAGCCACTTGTGGTGTTTAAAAGACTACACAGAAATGTCCTAAATGATGAAATGAGTAACTTTATTGACTTTTTAAAATTTAATTCCACATGCCACTGAAATTAATCTTAAACAACTTAAACTGATTGAAGGCTGTGGTTAACAGTCATGGCTTTCTTCCAGAGAATCTTTGGAATCTGTAGCTTTGTGGGATACTGAGACTTGTTTGTTGGGAATCTTTAGCCCTTCGTGTAACTTTTAATTTTTAGCATTCCGTTAGATGGGCCCACAACAGTTACACAGGCATAAAACTGTTTTAAATTTCTAGCGTACACGTAAGCTTAGAAAATATTGAAGAACGTACCTACTGCAGCAGCTTTACATATATATATATTTAGTTAGATGCTGTAAGACAAAACCAGTATTGGTCTATGACTGTAATTTGTTCTGTTTTTAATGCTGAATTTTAAATTGTTGTCACGTGCCCTGGGACCTGCTGATGAAAGGCATGTGACGACAACGACAACAACAGGACAGTAGTTGTAGCACAAAAGAGAGGTATGCACATCCCATTTGCTGTGGCCAGTCTGAAAGTTACTCACATCTTGTGATCTTTGGAGTTCACATGTAATGTATTGGCTAGTTTGCATTGTATATCACATGGGGGGGGGCATAACGAGCCACTCATTTCTACCTCAAGAATATTGCAATGGTTTGGAATGATAACTTACTTGCATGTCAAGCTTAATGTTCACATGTGACATGGCTTGGGGCAGTTTTTGCAGTAGCCAGAACGTCTCTGCAAGACTGAGCTATCTAACCCTCTTTTGGTCTATGGCAGGAGTCCCTTCACATCCCATAGTAGTGCCTAACCACATGGTAAATGTAGCATTTTGTTCTGAACTATATTGGGAGGGTGAGGAAGCACTTTGCTTTTCTATGCATTGGAGGTTTGGCTGTTTAGGCAAATCCAGACTTTTTCCTAAGGCAAAGGATTGTTGTTGTTATTTCTATACCACCTTATACCGTATTTCTATACCACCCTATGGATGTGCCCTTTGAAGCCCTCCAAGTCAGAAATTAATAATTTCAAACCAAAGTAAGTTTGGTACGAGGAAGTGCATGGCGTGGTCAATATGCCCATCATACTTTTTGTTGGATTGAAGCATGTGTTCCTTTTAGGATACGTAAAAAGAAACAAAAGAAACGTCTTTGTCTTCTCGCTCAACCAAAGCCAGATGGGGAATAATACTACTCATAATTCATTGTACAGGATTTGCGAAGGATGCGGCATGGCGCGCGGGAGCTGCCATGATAGATGCTTCAGCCTACTGACCATTCGAAAGAGCGCAGTCACTTATAGATTAAGAGCAGCATGCTTGGTGCTTAGAAATGCTGTCAGGAGTGCTTCAGAATTTCTGCTGTTTTTGACACTCCCATTACACATCCCGTGTCTAGGTTAAACTGTTTGCTATGGTTCCACCAACCCCTCTTTCTTCCTTTAGCAATTTAATAAGGAATTGTGGCAAATAATAGAAAATGGAAAACACTGTGTTAATGGCATGGCCTATTAGAAATCTGGCGCCACTGTCCTTGGTTGTATGTTGTGTGGCGATTAGTCTTGTGCAGTCCTTTTCGTATTTGGCAGAATTTGGAATTTCTCAGCAGTAGAGAAGATGCTTGGTTGCCAATGGTCCCAGTTTCAATCCTTGGCGTTTTTGGAAAGGGCTGGAAAAAACCTGCTGGAAACTACGGAGAGCTGGTGCCAGTCAATGTAGACAAGTGCTCTTCAGCCTTGTAGTCCTGGCATTGTTGGGCTGCAGCTGCCATCATCCCTGAGCAGTGGCTAAATTGGTTTATGGGATTATGGGAATTGTAGTTCAACCCCAACTAGGGATCAAAGGTTGAAAAACACTAGCGTAGGCAGTACTGGACCCAATGGGCTGACTCACTTTATTCTATTTAAGGTATTTAAATAAATAAAAATAAAATCTTTAGGTTTTGGAAGCTTTATTACAAGTTATGATTCAGTTGGCCATCTTTTCTGCAAGGGTATTTAAACATTTACTAGGACTCCTGAAGGGTCTTTCTAAAACTAGAAAGAGGAATTTGTCATAATTAATAGGAAGGAAACTCATTTGAACATAATCAATTTGACTTTACCTCATAAATTGCAACATTGGTGAGGTTGCACTTCCTCCTATGAATCAGGTTATTGGCAAGGGGATACTGCTGGCATCCTTGACAAGTAATTGGACAGTTACAGCTTTCCCTGGGAAAGTAAGACCTTTCCATTATCAGCCTTGTTTTGGACTAGACTATTGGCAATATGCTGTATGTGGGATTGTCCTTTGGAAAATTTCAGAAAGTACATCAACTTGTTAATGAGGAGATGCTGCACCAAGAAAGCAAATACTGATCACACTTAGCTTAGAGAACTTCATTGGCTCCTAGTTGGCTTCCAGACACAATTCAAAGTACTTGCGTTGATCTTTGGCATCCTAAATGTCTTGGATCACTATACCTGAGGGAGCATTTAAGTGTTATTTGTTGAGATAGCAGTAGAGGCTGTGCTTCAGGTGCCTCCTCACCACCAATGATGCCAAGACTTCTTTGGAGAAGATCAAAAGTCTATATGGCACCATTCCTCTTTTCTCTTACAAAGCAAATGATATTTTACTGGGTTGTGTGTTGTGTTTTTTTTACATGTGATTCTAAATATTTATATTGTGTGGAATTGACTCTGTTAGCTGTAATATGTACTTTTTAGTGGAAAGCCAGGATATAAACATTTTGAAAACATAGTGAGAAGCAGAAAAGTGGGAAGGATATTTATTCCCCGTTTGTCTGCTCTTCTCCAGAGATCCCTCAAACTTTCTACGAAATGCCAGAATTTTCTTCTGTTCCTTGATTGATACCTTCCTGTTATTCACCGTAGATACATTATCCGGGCTTCAAAGGGTGGAAGGCTCCTTTTGAAAACTTTCCCATTGCTTAGGAACCTGGATATATTTCTTAACTCAGCTATTTATGTGCTTGTTTATGTTTCTGAGCTTTGGCTCCATTCCCTCCCAGTTTGTAGTTGTGGGATTGTCTCAAGCTGCCTTTTTCCGCTTTAATTTTGGTTTAAAAAACACACCAAAAAAACCCCCTAATAAAATGCAGCTGTTACTGAAACGCTTAGATATTTTATCAGGTTTTCCCATCAGATGTGTTGCAGTGTCACTTGTGAGGAAATATTACACCAGTAGGTTCAGGCAATGAACAAAACATGGCACATGTGCAAACTGGCCATTTCTCAACACTCATCTACAACATTGGCTCCTTTGTTTGTAACAGAGCTGAGGGAAAGACCTCTGTAACATCCCACACATATCCCCTTTTTCAGCCTTCAAAGATTGGCTTCTATTACTTCCACTGAAAGAGTGACATTTTTTCTTCAACATAATGTGGTGTTGCTTCATAAAATAGAGGCAGCCCAGTAGCCTAGTGATGACAACTGTTTTATCCATTCTAAAACCAGTCACATTACATTTCTATAACACGTTTTACACTACACTAATTGTCACACATTTTCCCCTCACGCACACTCGCACAGACACGATGGGCATCTCCCACCCATTTCCCCCCTTAATAGTAGATTTGTGTAATTGCACCCCTATTTGTCAGATGCAGAGTGCTAAAAAAGATTTGTGGGAGGAAATCGTAATACGGGATCACAAATCAGCTGGGCTTTTGCTTCTGAATATCAAATGGTTTTTCAAACTTGGGTCTCCAGCTGTTTTTGGACTACAGCTCCCATCATCCCTAGCTAATAATAATAATAATAATAATAATTTATTATTTATACCCCGCCCATCTGGCTGGTCCTCCCCAGCCACTCTGGGCGGCTTCCATAGAAACCAAAAATACACTAAAATATCACACGTTAAAAACTTCCCTGAACAGGGCTGCCTTAAGATGTCTTCTGAATGTCAGGTAGTTGTTTATCGCTTTGACATCTGCTGGAAGGGTGTTCCACAGGGCGGGCGCCACTACCGAGAAGGCCCTCTGCCTGGTTCCCTGTAGCTTTGCTTCTCTCAATAAGGGAACCGCCAGAAGGCCCTTGGTGCTGGACCTCAGCGTCAGGGCAGAACGATGGGGGTGGAGACGCTCCCTCAGATATACTGGACCAAGGCCGTTTAGGGCTTTAAAGGTCAGCACCAACACTTTGAATTGTGCTCGGAAACGTACTGGGAGCCAATGTAGGTCTTTCAAGACCAGTGTTATATGGTCTCGGCGGCCACTCCCAGTCACCAGCCTAGCTGCCACATTCTGGATTAGTTGTAGTTTCTGGGTCACCTTCAAAGGTAGCCCCACGTAGAGCGCATTGCAGTAGTTCAAGCGGGAGATAACCAGAGCATGCACCACTCTGGCGAGACAGTCCGCGGGCAGGTAGGGTCTCAGCCTGCGTACCAGATGGAGCTGGTAAACAGCTGCCCTGGACACAGATTTGACCTGTGCCTCCATGGACAGCTGTGAGTCCAGAATGACTCCCAGGCTGCACACCTGGTCCTTCAGGGGCACAGTTACCCCATTCAGGACCAGGGAATCCTCCACACCTGCCTGCCTCCTGTCCCCCAAAAACAGTACTTCTGTCTTGTCAGCATTCAACCTCAATCTGTTAGCCGCCATGTTAGTAGGTCAGGGATGATGGGAATTGTAGTCCAAAAACAGCTGGAGATCCAAGTTTGGGAAACACTGGTTTAATCAAACCATGGTGTTATCAAACATACCAAACACTACCTCTTCTTGAGTGGGCTTGGCCTTTGTTGGATTATATTCGGAACAAATTTGACCACTTAGCTCTTCAGTGAAAAAATATGTCTGTTTCTTCAAGAAGAGCCATATTGGTGATAAACCAATGAGAATGTTCCTCTAATTCTTTCTTTCTTTTTAAAGCACCCATTTGGAAATTACTGTGGTCATTTGTTGTTATCGCTCAGCACTGTTATCTGCCAGCCTTTCTAGGTTATAGAAAAGTATTTTAAGAAAAATGTTTAATGCCTACAAGAAGAGAAACCAGAAGTCTCATTGTGCAAGCAGATATCTATTGTGCAAGTAGACAGATATATATATATATATATATATATATATATATATATATATAAAATTTCCAGCAGGAATTAAATGAGCAAAGATTTCATTTGCAAAGCAAAAATTGGGTATGATTTGTGCAGGACTTTCTTAAGTTCCGTACCATGACAGGGGCTTGGTAATAATTGGATGAGATATTTTATCCCAGGAAAGAGGCTTTGGCTTAGAATTCTTTAACTCTAATAAAACCTTTGATGTTTGTGGATCCTGTGAATATATTTTTGTTAGTATCAGATTTTGCTATATCTACTGATTTAAACCTGTCTTGCCCCAAAAGGAGTTGGGCAACACCGGAAAGGTTAACTTGCCTTAGGTTAGAACTCAGTCCTACAGTATTTAAGATTGCATCTAGTTCGGAAATTGTGGCAGGCACTGTCACTTATCATTAAACAGCTCATTAAATCCCAGCTAATTGCATCTTTGTTCCTGCATTTTAAAGTCTTCCTGTGCCAGCCCTTAACTACCTCACTAAAATTTTACCATTTGTACCCTCACAGTTAACTTCATTAGCTTATTCTAGCACAAGTAAAACAAGAGTTTTAATAAGTTTTTGTTTTGTACAAATTGAAGACAGAGTGTTCGACATTTGCTTTACCTGGTAGCCTGAGTGACTTAAAATCCACAAGTAAAGTAGTGCATATTTGAAATGTTCATGACATGTTTATATTTTTTGTAAAGTGTTTTGGTTTTCTGTGTTGTTTCAGAGCTTTTAAACAGTTTTGTTGTGATCTACATCATACCCTCCAACACCCCAGTGGCAAAATCCAGGACACATTCTTCTGGGACACTATCTTCCCATTTTTTCTCACAAGAGAATGGCGACCATTTTGGATGCCATAATCTTGAGCAATTTCACATCACAATTCCCCCCAGAAAAAGTGCCTTTTTCGGCACGGTGCCCTAAAAGGTGTTTGGGGGCACCACACAAGATTGCAGGCCTGAAAAAGAACTTGGGGGGGGGGGACACAATCATGGTGTGAAATTGGCAAGATCACAGCATCCAAAATGTTATGCCATGCTGCCATGGCAGCCATTTTGTGACTGCTGCCCACAACATTTCCACAAAATTCAAAATGTGCTTACTGGTCCTGAAAGGTTGGCAGCCTCAGTCACATTCATGCTATTCCTTATGTCTAACTTTTTGCTTATTTTGTTTTGCCCCTTTGTTCCTTTTCCACTTCAGTTCCTTTCAGTGTTCTGGGAAAACTAGGGTTTCATGTCATGATTAGCCCACATCTACTGCTTGGAACGGGGAAGTTTGCCGCTGACCCAAATTTCCCTGTTTCAAAGAGGCTTTTATGGGGGAAATCCTTGTATCCTTTCTTTGGAATTTAGTTTATATCACCTTCCTCGCAGAAAGCATGCAAGCAAGCCAAAGCCATGAGCCACCCGCATGAGAACTTTTTTTGTTTAAACTGTTCATTCATGTAATCCACAAGTCTTAATCCCTTTCTCTTCTGTCTAGGTTTCTTCATCTGCAGTGTTTATTTATGGCAGCAATTGAATTTAATCAGCTACATGCTACTCTCTGCATTGGCCATGCTACTTTTCCCCTTCTGCTTTTGGCGAGAATGCTTAGCAAAAGGAGGTGGAGAAAATGTAGAGGCTGATAATTATAGTCGCGAAGGGCCTTGGCAGTGGGAAAAGGCACAGCCAAGAATAAGAGGATTGTCTTTTTTATTTTGGAAAATTTAGTGATATTGGAAAAGTTGAAAAGTACAGATTTGTCACCCTATTTCTCCTTCCCAGTGATCCTTTCACAAGTTAACTGTGAATATTCAGGTTGCTCCCGATTTTCTCTTCTCGTAGCGTGGTCACAGTGAGTTGCCAACATGCAGGTAGAGGACCAGGAGGATAAGCTTCACTGGCTTTTGTGTATTTGATAATGTCACTGCTTTGCACAATATAGATTTACTTAATACAGGGATGTTTAACCTCTGGGCCACACCACAGGCCTGATTAGGGCAACCAGGCCTTCCCAGTTGACCCATGGTGCCATTTTAGCTAGACCCTGTCCACCTGTCTTAATAAGTTTTGGTTTGTTTCACTACGCAGTTGTATTTATGGCTTCTAAAATGCTGTCAATTTTTGCATTTCTGGTGGCCGGATCTTTTATGCTCCAGTGCTTAACACAATGGGCAGCCAGTGTTCAGGTTTCCTTAATCAGGGAAGGTAGTATTAGCGGTATTCCACCACTAGTGCTTGGTTAAAGCCCCAGTATGAGGCAGCCACCCTTGTGCTATAGCTAAATGAGCAACTGGAGGGATGGTGCAGTTAGGAATTGAATAGCTTGAAGTAGCCTCAAATGTAGGTCATATCTGCTCCTTATAAACAAAGAAAATGGAGCCCCAAGCATTCAGTGGTGGAGGTTCAGTAAAACATCAAGCTCCATTCCTGGTTTACATAAATCTCTCTTGGCCATTCCATTTGCAAGACTGCCATTACCTCAGGTTTCTTGGCCACTGCTACTAGCACAGAAGTTATGGCAAATTTGTAAAACATGTCTCTGTACCTCCTGTCTGCCATTATGCTCTTATTTTTCTTGATTCTTTTACAGTGCTCCCTGCAACATGTAGTGACTTACTAGAAGAAAAATTAGCCCATCTTATTGTTTAGCTGTCCCAAAAGAAAAGAGCGTGCGAGGAAGGGATTGGCTGGGAAACAGACTGTTCTTCCATCTGGTATATGAGACTGTATTCCAGAATCCCAGGGGTAATCTAAAGAGATCTTCTTTTGATGGTTTACTGTAGCCCTGTGGGAGTCCTTTCCCCTTCCTCTGCTGATTGACAGGGATGAACTGTATCCTTAGATAACTCTGTGCAAGAATGCAGATGTTGCATGCCATGCTTACATTTCAAATCCTGAAATATAACACACAGTTTTTCAAAAACTAGAGAATAAAATAATTGGTACCTGCTTAGGCTAGTTACTTGTTACAAACAGCAAAGGGGGAAAATGTTCAGATTATTATACAGTGGTACCTCGGGTTAAGTACTTAATTCGTTCCAGAGGTGCGTTCTTAACCTGAAACTGTTCTTAACCTGAAGCACTACTTTAGCTAATGGGGCCTCCTGCTGCTGCCGCGCTGCTGGAGCACGATTTCTGTTCTCATCCTGAAGCAAAGTTCTTCACCCGAGGTACTATTTCTGGGTTAGTGGAGTCTGTAACCTGAAGCATCTGTAACCAGAAGCGTATGTAACCCGAGGTACCACTGTACTGTAAATGAATACAATCTGAATCAATTAGTGATGTATGACTAACTGATATGTTCCCTTTCCAGAAATTACACCATTAATGACCGTTAGCCTTGTTAACCCTAATGAATTTCTGCTCTGAAGAAAAATAATTCAATAGGCCATACTGCCTTTGTTTCTATCCACTGCTTTTGAAAGATGGCTGTAGCTGTTTAAAATGACAGTACTGCCCCTGCCTTTTAGCTGGGGTGGGGTGGGGTGGGGGGTACATCTGTAATTGTCTTCCTTGAAGTTGTCCAATGGGATTTTGGTTTATTTTGTGGAGTGCTCAGAATCGAGATGGCAGCTAATTAGGATCATGGCACAGGCCAGGACATCGTAAGACTGCTCTTCAATCATCATTTCCTCTTACAGGAAACCACAAAATATTGTAGATTAAGGTCACCGGGGAAAAGATCAAAAGTTTGTCTGTAGAGGAAACATAGTATAATTGTATAAGGACCAAACAGTAAGGATGGAGCTGGTTTTAAAAACAGGATCTAGAGTTGCAATTTATCACACATCTTATATGCGCTTCTTTCAAGAACCTTGAGGTATTTGAGATGATATGCTTCAAATTCTTTTTAATGCGTGGTTATGCCATTCATCAGATCTCCCAAAGCTGTTTGTTTGAATTTAGAAACAACTGCAGTTTAAAAGCAGAAACAGAAAAACAGATTAACACTACTGTTATGTATTCAGTGGTCTGTGTTTGCCTGAGCTTGAGTCTGGACTAAGAATTCTGAGCCCCTATGTTCTGATTCGATACATGATATCCAATAACAGAACATTTCAGGATTTGGGCCTCTGCCATTGGCCCTTAAACTCTGAGTTATGATTCGCAGCTTGGAAGTTTAGACAGCCAATCACGTTGGGAGTGGGAGTGGCCCAGGCCTTCAGAAATGTATATAAGCAGTTGCTTTGCCCCTGTTGTCCAGTTCTGCTAGTTCAATGAAGGTTTTTGCTGTTATCACTGTGTCTTGCGTCGTGGGAACCCTACCCACACTTCAACTACCATACCTAAACTGAGCACATTACACAATGTGCATAGCAATTAAAATCCCCATAGACTTTTGAAGCTTGCATTCATGTTTTTATGCCAGAATAAATATTATAGCTGATTCTGTATTTAGACTTGTTCATTAACATTATAGTAATTATTACAATGCTTGGTGGCTATTTGAATTGGTCTTCAATAAAACTGCATTTCTAATGGGTGGTACTTGAAGTAGACCCACTGAAATCCATTACTCAAGTCCATTAATGTCATTGGGTCACTTCTGTGTATTATTATTGCGTGTTATCCAATGTTTTCGGTGCAAACAAGGGAACTTTAATTTGCAACAAGCCAGAAATTAAGGGATTTTTCATCATGGTCTAAACGTGTTTATCGTGATGCAGTCATCGTCAGTGGAAGGTGAAAAAAAATATAGGACTTCTTCCTTCCACTCTTCTCATATGTTTCTACAGAAGCTTTCTTAATACTAGGAGTATGGTTTGGGGACAGTCTTGCAATAAATTACACCGGCATTAAAGTCAACCTGCGTGGCCTGCCAGTATACAATACAAATAAATAAGTGCAAACTCCTGTTGGCGTAAAATTAGTCAAGCTTTTGAGGTTTGGCAGAAATCATTTGCACTTTACTGAAATTGCTAGAAGTGTGTGTGGTTTGTGTCCCTGTAGGATGTCCTCCCACCAACAAGTGCGCACACACTCTTAGTCCCCATAAAAAATGAGAAAAATAGATACAATGCCAATTACATGTTACTTCTAGGTTTGTAGAGCGAAGGATACATGGCCTTACCAAATTGGGTTGTGCTGTTTTTACTGCGCTGTGTCCTACCCTAAGACGGGTAATTGTAATTATTCCCATACTGTCGAGTGTAACAGCTGCAGAAAATTTTTGCAGAGGCCATGGAGAATCAAGGTCTTTGAGGCATAGCTTCTTCATATAAACAGTGCAATTATTTTATTTGAGCTAGCTTGGGCGAGTCTTACAGAAAAGGCTTTTAACCCCACCAGGATTTTTTAGTAAAAAAGAATTAATAGTTCATAGGAAACATGTGTGCGTTGCAGCCGTACAAAGGGCTCTATCTTGGCTTGAGCCTGAACAGTCTGCTGTGAGATCCCAACTGATACAAAACATATATGCTGTTTGGGTATGGGATTTAAAGAGAAACTTAAACCAGCTTTGTGGGATGGAATATGTTTTTACACCAATCACACGTTCCCCCTTTTTCTAGTTAAAACAAAAAAAGAAAAAGAAAAAATCCAGTGTGCATTCTGATGGAATCTTTACGCTACATCTTCTTTTTCCATTTGTTGAGCTAAAGTCTAAAGTTCTTCCTGTTAGAATCTACCAGGGCAGTCTCCTGGAGTATTTTTTAGTAAGGCTCCCTCTTTCCATTCATGGTGCATTGTTTCTCAAAGACCATACCCAGTGATTTGCACCTATAGACTATGCACTCTTGCGCTAGAGAGTTTGTTTCTGCTATTGCATATGTAACGAAATCTATTGTTGCTATGGTTTCTATATTTTCTATTATTTCTATTCTTGTTAAGCCACCTTTGGCTAATGCATGAAGTTGTAAATTTTGTACATGTAGTGTGCATTATATTACCAACCTATATGTTACTTGATACTGATTTCTGTTTGTTGACAGTGATCCATTGTTATTATCTTGTATGACTGTAGTTTAGTACCAAAGGTTGACTGCATCGGGTTTTGTAAAGATTGGATAGGCTGGAAGGCTAATACGAGTTGCATCCATAGAATCATAGGATTGTAGAGTTTGAAGGGACCCTGAGGATCATCTAGTCCAACCCCCTGCAATACAGGCCTATGCAGCTGTCCCATATGGGGATTGATTGAATCTGCAAACTTAGCGTTATCAACACCATTCTTCAGCCAACTGAGCTATTCAGGCTGACCAGCACTAAATTGGACATATTGGATTAAATAGTCCTTAATGCTCTTTCAGATTCGAACTATGCACTGAGCTTTTGCTTTAACTTTCATGTACGAGATGAAGGGATCAACTATGTCCTGTTGATTAGCCAGATTGCTTCCTCTCACCCTTTTGCAAGCAATGTCGAGTTATTTGTGCTCCTTCTCTCATTACTTTTAGCATGGGATGTGCGGGGTATGTTCAGGGAAGTTTTTAATGTGTGACATTTTAATGTATTTTTAATCTTTGCTGGAAGCTGCCCAGAGTGGCTGGGAAAACTCAGCCAGATGGGCGGGTACAAATAATTTATTATTATTATTATTATTATTATTATTATTATTATTATATGTGTTTGTATGTGATTGGATTCTTGAGAGTGTTCTTTTTGAGCTCAAATTCTCAGCCATTTCTGAGACATAGAGGGCTATGGCTATCTTTAATCCTATCCTCTTGTGAACATATTTTTTATTTTGTTTATTTATATACTTATAAACCACATATAACAAGGTAGTGTAAAGATAAAAAATACATTACCACAGTAGCAACAGTAGAAACATCAATAACACCAATTATCAAAAGTAGCTGAATAACCAATCAGATTGGACGTGGTGACGAACTTTCTTGAGGGCAAATTCAGGCAGTTCAGAGTATGAGCAGTGCTTTATCTGTTGCCTTGCTGAATGGGCAGGAGAAGGCTTGCTTGAAGCAAATGCCATAGCAGGAAGGGGAGTGTGGATCCTGAGTATCAACAAGAAGCTGCCCAATGCCTAGATGATGCAGGCTGTTGTCCTTTTTTGCTTCAGCTCCTGCATCTCCACCAGTGCCTCACTCTCCTTGTGAGGCCTCCCTAAATGGCCAAAAGTTGGGAACCTTTGCCTGGTCTGTAAGTGGGGCTGAGTTCTGCTTATTGGATTTCACAGCTGCAGCCTGAAATTGTACATCCCAGAAACAGATGCATCACCCAGACTCCTGCTCCTTTTTTTCTTCTTAGACCTCTCTGTCCCAGGTGTAATGGCTGTGCTCCAAGCTGAGGCTTATATTTCACCATCAGACTAACCTGGTCTCTCGCCTTGATTTTTGGCTTTTGCTTTGTTGTACAGGCTGTTTAGAATCGGTTCTGTGAGACTCACGGAACTTTGTACACCTGATCTTTTACTAGACTCTTATAAGCCGTGGACCTGCTTCTACTTTTCCAGGTTCTCCTATACAGTGGACAACTTGATATCATTGTGGGAGCCCCACTGACGGAACGATTTCTCCCGACTGTGCCGTGGACTAAAGTGGAAGAGTACAAGAATGCCGAAAGAGTTGTGTGGAGGGTTCGTGCTAAAGATTCAGACGTTGCTGGCTATGTGCGCCAAGCTGGTGAATTCTATCAGGTATGCAGCGGAGGGGGATGCTAAGATACAGATTTTAAAGAAGCACAGTGCAAATTCAGCTCTGTTTATTTGACTTTTTCCGGCCGAAGGACTCGCTTTTCTCTCTAACACCCGGCGAAGTGAGTTAAATTCAGACTGCAATCCTGTGCATGCTTATTACGGAATATATAGCCCCCACTGAGCTCATAATACTTCTGTCAGAGTTAAACCTCCCATTCTCTTGGTTGTGCACTACCAGCGACCTAACTTGAAGTGAAACTATCTCTTAGGCACCCTGCATTACGAAAGATGTTTGGGAATTGTCAGGGAACTGCCATCGGCTCAGGGGTGAGGGGGGGGAAAGGCGGATGGATTACAGAGAGCCCCCAAAGATCGTGGGAAGCAGCACCTCCTCAGCGGAGGAAGGAGGCCACGCCTCTAGTGGCGAGGAGGTGCAGGGCTCGGAGGATGCAAGGCAGTACCAGGACACCTTGCCTGGGCAAAGCAGGGAGGAGGGAGGTCCCCCTTTACCCACGCCTTCCTTGCGCAGAAGACTTTTGCGCAGAGAGGGGAGGCGTAGGCTGGGGCTCAAGAGAGTACTCTGCTGGGGAAGATTCAAGGACCGCCCACTCTCAGAGTCTGCTAGTCAATGAGCAAGACGTGGAATAGAGGCGCTCTGCATTGTAAAGGTTTTTAGCACCAATAATAAAGCTTTAGAACAGACCAGTGAGGCACCTTGCCTGGTTGCTCTCGAGCAACCATCCGATAGCCTTAACAGGAATGTAGGAATCAGATGCCTGATCATTCTCTCCCCACCAACCACCCCTAGGCTGAATCCCACAGGGACTCCAGGAGTAGGACGGGATTCCTGCTACAAATCATGATGTGATAGATCTCATTTCCGAATGTCTGTTGTTTGACTCCTGGTGTGGGTTCTGTCTGGCAGGGAAAAAGGAAAGCTTTCCCTGCAGCTTTTAAAATTGATTTCAGCAGCAAAGCACTGAGCATGCGGTCGGAGCAGCTATCCTTGGTCAGTGTTTCTATCCTTGATCACTGTTGACAAAGATGACATTTGCACTTGGCTGCTGGGGGGGGGAGGGGGGAGGCTTAGACTTTTCTAGGCAGCAGCTGCAGACAGTAAGCCAACTATTTGTACTGCCGTGCAGTGACAGATCACAAAATACTGCATCTGCGGGCATCTGAACATGCTTCATTTTTAGCCCTCGTAAGCAGGCTCTGTTCTTGATCCTCCAGTTTCTGTAACATCTGAGTCTTAAAAAAAGAGAAGCATTTACACAATAAAGCTGTGCACAGGGGTAAACTAAATATTAAAGGCCTTTCCCATCTTCTGCTATGTCCCCTCCCCCCCAAAAAAAATCTAAAGAGAGTCAGTATCTCATGAAGAATGGAGACATTCAAAAAGTGACTATTGAAATGTTACTACTACTACTACTAATTTATTATTTATACCCCAGCCACTCTGGGCGGCTTCCAACAAAATATTAAAATACAGTAATGTGTCAAACATTAAAAGCTTCCCCAAACAGGGCTGCCTTCAGATGTCTTCTAAAAGTCTTGTAGTTGTTGTTCTCTTTGACATCTGGTGGGAGGGTGTTCCACAGGGCAGGTGCCACTACCGAGAAGGCCCTCTGCCTGGTTCCCTGTAACTTGGCTTCTCGCAGTGAGGAAACCGCCAGAAGGCCCTCGGCGCTGGACCTCAGTGTCCAGGTAGAACGATGGGGGTGGAGACGCTCCTTCAGATATACTGGAGCGGTTAAATAGAAACGCCAATTCTTCCAGCCGAAAGAAGACAGCACTGTGGAAAGTATTCAGTTTTTATTCAAACAAAGTCTGGACCAGTGTTAGAAACTGGATCATGAAAGCTAGGAGCTAAATGGCACCTTAAACCTAAGTTATGGGCGCCACAACAGAATGTCTAGGCTGAAAATGAATTAACTGCAGCTAAAATCTTCTGTTCATTTTTCACATGGTCTAGTCCTCATCTGAAGACTGCAAAAAATGAAGCCATGCCCGCCATCTTAATATTCTTATGAGGGTCCCTTTCTGTAAGGGCAGCTGAGAGGCAGAACGTATCAGCTTGCCTGACGCTGAAGTGATTTCTTGGAAGTCAAGCAGGCAGGAATTTCTCCTCCCACGCCCTCAGCACCAGCAGTCGCAGTTTTAATCTGAAATCTTACGTGCAGTGCCCAGAGCTCAGAAATTGCTCGCACCAATGAAATTCCCAATCTCAAAATGTGCCTAGAACAATGGGAGTTTCGAACGCTGGTCAGGACAGAAAATACAAAATTCAAGGCACCTTTATAACTTCTTACCCCATGCCCAGATCCTTCCAAGCAATATAAACTGGATAACAGAATGTGCAAACAACTCACAAACAGCCCCTGGACTCCTCATGGTCACTTCTAATTGGTTACACCAATTATTGGAGTTGCTTTTTCCTTACAACTCTCCCTATCTTGTTCCGGTTTCTTCCTAACTCAAAAGTAGTTTCTGTTAAACTCTTAAAGGTGTGAGATACTTGTTTTCCTTCCGTCCATGAGTATTAAATTGGGAGGCGCTGAATCTACATTTTTAGTGCAGTGAGGATGGGCTTGTGTTCTGCTGGTGTAGCATTGACCTGTTTGCTTGTACAACAGCTCAAAGAATAGAGATTGCTCTTAAGCAGTTAAAATCATTTAAGTGCAGCACGACTAAGAACTAAAATGATAGGCATCTCATAAATCAGACTTATAACCCAGAGTGTATTTCAATTAGAAAACTTGGGTTTCGTTACTCTCAAATATACAATTAAAAAAAACAACCCAACCAGCTGAAATCCTACATAGAATGACTTGTTTTTGCTGGAATTCATCAACACCTTTTTATTTTGGGCTTTGCTGATATGCATGACATGAAGGTCTTCTGAAAGTTTTTAACGAAAGCTTAACTTAGCCTATAATAATATGTCACGACTTTCAGATGGAAGGAAACTATTCAGGCAATTTTCATCATATGCTTCTCACAGGGACTAAGTATAAACTGAAGTGTTATCTTTCACAGTCTCTTAAATTCATAGGCTTATAGACATTTTATTTTCCAGTAAATGCTTCTGAGAAATGGCCTTGTGAGTCAGAATGTGGGTAATATTTACTTTACCGTTGCTTTACTGGGGTGGTGTGTGTGAGGATCAACCAGAATGAAATTTTACAATTAACAGGCTGCTTTAAAAACAAAACAAAACAAAAACTACAGTGATTTAAGAACACGGCTAGCTTGGCTTCATTTCAGTATTAGTAGGAGGACTTAAATTTCACTTGCTTTCAGGGGAGCCTAAAATTATGTGGCTGAGTACTTTTCGGAAACTGGGTCCTTTGGAGGATTTTGGGAAGGTTACGGAATTGAAATAAGTAACTGCAAATAAACATATTTCTAATTGAAGGAAGAAGCTGCTGAATAGATTTGGGATAACTTCTGCCAAGGCCAGATAGTTCCCAGGAAGAAGAATCTTGGCTTCACTGAAGTCTTTGTTAGTTCCTTTGTCAGTTTCTTGCTTCATTCTTTGAGGATGAGTGAAGTTCCTGATGCCACGTAGAAATTATCCACACTTAACTTTTGCCCTGCACTTTCTTAGGCAGAGTCTGCACTTAAAAGCTCAGTCTCCAAGCATTCTTTTTTGCTCTGGAACTTTCCCCGCCGAAGCCTGCTCTTTAGCGCTAAATTGGAGCAGAGGTCAATTCGGGTTCTCAATGGATTGCTGTTTGCTCCAATTGAGCTTTAAAGAATGGATTTTTGTAGGGAAAACTCTGGGGCAAAAAAGGGAATTTGGACATGGAACGCAGACCATGCCTGGAAAGAGCAGAGGAAAGGTAAATGTAGATAATCCCATAGCGTGATGACTGTTTTCTAGAAGCTTCTATGGGTGTTGTGGTTTGTTTAACTGTTTTACATGGACTTCCTCTAAGCATGCAAAGTGCCTATAGGATAGTGTTCTTGGGCTAGCGTGGTCATATTTAGAATATGGATAGAATGTATTTTTCAATAAGTTCCCCAGCTATCAAATACCTAGCATCAGTTAATGGTTGAAAGGAGCTGGTCTATAGGTTAGTGGTAGAATATTGCTTTGCAGTGTTGAGGTCCAGAGTTAGGTCTTGATAAGTAGAATTCAAATTGTTGGTACTGAGCATTAAAGCTCAAAATGGCTTCGGCTCTATATACCTGAAGGAGCTTCTCCACACTCATTGTTCAGCCCAGACACTGAGGTCTACCACCTACCTTCTGGTGGTTCCCTCACTGCAAGAAGTGAGGTTACAGGGAAACAGGCAGAGGGCCTTCTCAGTAGTGGCGCCCGCCCTGTGGAACACTCTCCTGTCAGAAGTCAAGGAAATAAACAACTATCTGACTTTTAGAAGATATCTGAAGGCAGCCCTGAAAAAGGAAGTTTTTTATGTTTGATGCTTTACTGTGTTGCTGTTTTAATTTGCTGGAAGCTGCCCAGTGTGGCTGGGGCAACCCAGTCAGATGGATGTCATATAAACAATATAAAACTATATAGAAAGGCCACCAAAGTGGGCGTCTGGGAAGGAGCTGACTGTGTACATAGTCAGAGTACATAGGCAGCTGGCTTATATCAAGTCAGACCATTGGTCCAAATAGCACAGTATTGTCAGCACTGACTGTCTGGGTTGCAGGCAGAAAGAAGTCTTCCACAGTTCTACCCGTAGACCCCAAGGATTAAACCTGGAACATTTGGCATGTGAAGAATGTGTTCCACCACAGACCTATGGTCCTTCCCTGAAGGTTAAACTATTGGTCTGACCCATTTATGGGGTAGTTCTTCATGCTCAATGTCTGTCGCCTTGCTGGTTTCCTTAATGGACGCCCACCCCTTCTGAAGTCTACATTCATGATCTTGACACACCTATGAGTTATTATTTACCCCCTTGTGTTGCAGCTCTTAAGATCGTACTCTTCTGCTGTGCCACAGCTGCAGCCTTGCTGAAGCGCTGTCTGATACTTGGCCAGTGCTTGGAACAGTGCTGTTGCAAAGATTTCAGCTCCTGTTCGTCCAAGCGCACTTGTTTGGCTTGGTTTTAAAGAAGTTTTTAATATTGCCAAACTATCAAGAGGCAAAGATCTTCTTCAGGAAAAACGAGCCACAGGCATCCTGCAATCTGATCAGCATGCATTGAGACTAGAAACTCACCCAACAAACTGGACAGACAGAGGCAGCCTTATTTTAAAGGGGATATTCTCTCACTGTTGCTCACCAGTGATCCTGCTCATCCTTTCTCCTTGCCAGTCACAAGTTTCTGCTTCCAGCATGTTCCCTGCTCCATAGTTCCCTATTCTTCTGGTGTTCTTTGAGGCTCATATCATTCCCCTCTTTTGCACACCCAGCCCCCTTTTGAGCTCAGACCCTCTTGAACTGCTGTCGCCTTGCCTACAGGCATAAATGAGCTAAGTCAGGCTTCCTCAACCTCTGCCCTCCAGATGTTTTGAGACTACAATTCCTATCATCCCTACCACTGGTCCTGCTAGCTAGGGATCATGGGAGTTGTAGGCCAAAAACATCTGGAGGGCCAAGGCTGAGGAAGCCTGAGCTAAGTTATCTGCTTTTGAGAGAATGAATGAAATTTGTTGGGGTTAAGATGCTGGAATTTTCTGGCCCAGCAAGGAAATAGCAGCTCCACATTAGTATTCCACACGGATCTTCAGAATGACACTGCAGAATATTCCCACAAAGCCACAGCATTGCTTAAGACAGTCATGGGCCGGCGTTGCTGGCTTGCCAATGATTTTAAGTAAAGCAAAGTTTTGGATTTCTTTCCTGGGTTCTCCCTGCCATTTGCCTGTTCAATCCCTATGGCTGCGCACATCTGTTTTGCACTATTCTGCTTGCTGATTTAATTGTACATGGCTGCACATGCATAGATATCTGAGAGGAAACCACAAAGAGCCACTTGTCCAAAGACAGCGAAGCCAAAGAGCTGATGCTTGAACAGATTTCTCCTAGAACAGACTTTTATTTATTTCATTGCTTGATAGCCATAGCACTTAATCTTTTAATGCTGATGTTGAATCTCTCTCTCTCTCTCTCTCTCTCTCTCTATATATATATATATATATTACTGTGGCTGATTTTAGAATTCCTTATGATGTCAAAAACGGTTACGCTCCCATCTGTGCGGATGATTTTTGTTCTAAACCCAATGCATAGTGATAGTGGTGAAACAGAAGCACAGACTTTTTTAAAAAATCAAAATGTCTGATTTACTTTAGTGCTAAGGTATAATTAATCCCTAATAGATAACAGGTTTTAAAATAAAGTTCCCAGGAAATGAGGCATGTTAGATGTGCTTTCTCACATGTGTGTAGATAGATTTTAAAATATGGTTTCTGCATTCTAAAATATGGAGTCCCCTGAAGTGGGAGAGGTCTCCTCTCCAGGACCGTATACGACTGCACAGTCCCCTCTCCATCAGTGGAGAAGCAAGCTGTCAGCTAAGAGGTACAGGGCCCATGGTACAGGCCCCAGCTTCACCTAGTCAATCCCCGAAATTGAGTCTTGTAGGAGCAGGGCACTGGCTGCTTTGGATCACTAGATCCAAATCCCCATGGATTCTCTGAAGGGCCCAGTCTTTGGACCTTTTAGCTATGCTAGCCTGGAGCTGGTGTACCAAAAAATGAGGCAAAGTAGCCTTCCACACAGCATTCTCCCCTCAGCATTCCTCAGCAGCCAGTGTGGTGTAGTGGTTAAGAGCGGTAGTCTCGTAATCTGGTGAACCGGGTCCGTTTCCCCGCTCCTCCACATGCAGCTGCTGGGTGCCCTTGGGCCAGTCACACTTCTCTGAAGTCTCTCAGCCCCACTCACCTCACAGAGTGTTTGTTGTGGGGGAGGAAGGGAAAGGAGAATGTTAGCCGCTTTGAGACTCCTTCAAATCCAAACTCTTCTTCTTCTTCTTCCTCTGGCTTTGGGATGTGGTAGCCATGCTAAAGAGGATGGGGCCCAAACCAACGGGTTCAAATTACGAGAAAGACAGGTTGGACTAAACAAGTAGAGTGCAAACTGTTTGACAGTGGAACAGCAGACTGGACTCTCCTTTGTTAGAAGTTTTAAGCAGAGGTCGGATAGCCACTATCTGGGTTGCTGTAGTAGTGGATTGCCTTCATCAGCATGGAGTTGGACTAGAATCAGGGTTTCCTAAACTTGAGACTCCAGCTGTTTTTGGACTACAACTCCCACCATCCCCAGCTAGCAGGACCAGTGGTCAGGGATGATGGGAATTGTAGTCCAAAAACAGCTGGAGACCCAAGTTTGGGAAACCCTGGACTAGATGAACTTGGAGGCCCCTTCCAACTCCTTATGTTTCAGTGATTTGGCTCCAGATCCAGGCAATGTTCTTCCTTCCTTCCTTCCTTCCTTCCTTCCTTCCTTCCTTCCTTCCTTCTCTCTCTCTCTCTCTCTCTCTCTCTCTCTCTCTCTCTCTTTCACACATGTATTCCCACGCACTGCTGTGAGTGTCCATTAAACATTCTAGGAGTTGATCTCCCTTCTGATCCCTTGAAGATGCACGATCAGGCGCCACACTGACATCCCACAGCCGCTGCCCTCCTCTGCTTTCAAATACAGAGGTCAAAGAGGAAGTTTGGGTCACAGTAAATGTAAGCAAAGACCCTGTATTCGGCTGTTACTTTTTTGTCGTGCATGAATGCCGTTTGGACTGGCGCCCTGTGAACTCTGCTGGCTGATTCCACCCCCATCCTGCCTCCACTACTGTATGTTCCTTTTGAAGCTGTGTGGAGAAGGAGAAATGCAGCTGTTTACTGCTTTCACTGAAACTGTGTGTGTGTGTGTGTGTGTGTGTGTGTGTGTGTGTGTGTTTGTATGTGACTTCAGTTTTTTGCAATTAGGACCGAAGCCTGGAACAGCACTGCCGGCCTCCATGGAGCATTTAGCAATGTCTAGTCATGGCAGTGATTGGATTAAAGAAAGAGGAGGTCTGTCTGGAACAATGTAAATTATAGCCAGCTCTTACAATTCAAAGGGATCCCAAAGCCAAAGTAAAATTAGGGTGGTGGTTGTGGTTTTAAGCCAGTTAACATTGGCTTATAGAGTGCGTCCCAAATAAATTACCACATCTGGTTCCTGCAAGGGGAAAGACCGGCAGTGGAGTGAGCGTGAAACTGGAACTCTTTCTCACCCTAACTAAAGCGTAGCGGCTGGGTCCATGCTTCATTCCTGTTGACGTCTCTACTTCTGGACTTGCAAAGTAATCATGCAGTGTTAATTGAGAAGGGGGGGGGGAATGGGTGTGGGGGTGTTATACAACACCCTCCCTCCTCTTTGGTTTTTAAAATATTCACCTTGTTTCTAAGTTTTGCAGAGTGGCTGGGGAAACCCAGCCAGATGGGTGGGGTATAAATAATAAATTATTATTATTATTATTATTATTATTATTATTATTATTATTATTATTATGCTGTTGCTGCAACTGCAGCCCAGATTCAGCCCCTCTTCCCTTCCCACTCCTATCCTGCCAATAACAGAGGTGGAGAAGTTATCGCTGCTTCTAGTAATATTGCGTTGTGTCCTAGTAAAATAAGCTGGGAAGGTAGCTCAATAGTGGAGCATTTGCTCTGCATGTAGAAGGTCCCTGGTGTATCCAGTTTAAAAGAATCAGGTGGTGAGTAGGGCAATATGGCCTGAGGCTGTCTAAAGCAACTCCCTGTGGGCGGTGTACTATTTCTAAGCATGTTGCAAGAAATAGGTCCACCACTCAGTCTGGGCAATATATCGATATATTGCCCAAAACTGGTTTGAAGTCCACATCATGATATCGATTTCATAATTTTGGACCTGGCAATATATCGCAAATCATGAGGTGTGTGTGTGCGCTATGCAAAAATCACAATGTGGGAAAAACAGTGAAGCTAGCCAATGCTTCTCTCGATTCCTGCAGCTCCTGTTAACTCGGTCAGCTCAGCTCTCCCCTGCTTCCTGCAGTGGGAAGCGCATCACAAGAGCAGGCGCCAGCAAAAATCACAATGCGGGAAAAACCATGAAGCCAGCCAATGTCTCTACATAGCTCGATCCTTAAGTCAGACACTGTGATATAGCAGTACAACATGATGTTTAGCTGGTGATACATCATGATGTTGAAAACCAGGTGATGGGACGTGGGTGGCGCTGTGGTCTAAACCACTGAGCCTCTTGGGCTTGCTGATTGGAAGGTCGGCGGTTCGAATCCCCGCAATGGGGTGAGCTCCTGTTGCTCTGTCCCAGCTCCTGCCAACCTAGCAGTCTGAAAGCATGCCTATGCAAGTAGATAACTAGGTGCCGCTGCGACAGGAAGGTAAATGGCATTTCCATGCACTCTGGCACTCATCATGGTCCTTCATGCGCCAGTAGCAGTTTAGTCATGTTGGCCACATGTCCCAGAAAACTGTCTGTAGACAAACGCCGGCTCCCTTGGCCTGAAAGTGAGATGAGTGCCACACCCCATAGTCACCTTTGACTGGACTTAACCATCCAGGGGTCCTTTACCTTTACCTGAAAACCAGGTGTTCAGAACATGTCATGAAGGCTGTACTTTTTTTTTTTTTGTATTAAAAACGTAGAAACTTGCCTTATCCTGAGTCAGACCGTTGATTTCAGGCAGGGAATCTTTTCCCGCTCTACCAAGAGAAGACAAGGATTGGGGCTGGGACCTTCTGATGCAAGTAGGACTACCCCATTGCAGATTTAGGAAGCTGTGTTTGCTGTAACAGCCTTCTGTCTCCATTTACTCAGCATCTTGGTAATCGTACTTCTTCTGACATCGTTAGTTTCGATCTGAAGTACAAATCAGTGCTCCCAATTCAAACGGCTAAACTTTTGGAAAGGAAGAGGTTAATCGTTAACAGTAGGCTTTTAACAAAAAGATCTGTAGTAATGCTGGGACTCGGGTGGTGCTGTGGGTTAAACCACAGAGCCTAGGACGTGCCAATCAGAAGGTCGGCGGTTCGAATCCCTGTGACGGGGTGAGCTCCCGTTGCTCGGTCCCTGCTCCTGCCAACCTAGCAGTTCAAAGCACGTCAAAGTGCAAGTAGATAAATAGGTACCGCTCCGGCGGCAAGGTAAATGGCGTTTCCGTGTGCTGCTCTGGTTCGCCAGAAGCGGCTTAGTCATGCTGGCCACATGACCCGGGAGCTGTACGCCGGCTCCCTCGGCCAATAAAGCGAGATGAGCACCGCAACCCCAGAGTCGGCCACGATTGGACCTAATGGTCAGGGGTCCCTTTACCTTTACCTTTACCTTTACTGTAGTAATGGTAGTGAGGAAATTGCCCAGTGACTTCTGGCAACCTGATGGACTCTCCTTTCAGATGTGGAAGAGACTTCTGCTGCCAACTTGGTTTGAAAATATTGTAAAATCCAAATGCCACGTCGGTGTCCTTCAGCAGGCTCTGTGCTTCTGCAGAAGTCGCTGTGCCAGACAACGGCCAAGACAGAAGTCTGATTCTCGTTCACCTTCAAGGCTTTGGCTGTTGGCGCCAGAAGTAAAGATCCTCTGGAATAATTTGAAGACACTGACTTATGTTGTTTGCTTTTTAGCAGTGAAGGAATATTTGAATTCCAGTTATGTCTGTATGCTAAGGAGAAAACCTGTAAAAATGAGAATATGGAATCAGCAATGCAACATGGTTCTAAACTGTGATGGGATGATGAGCTGCTTGTGCGTAAAATAGTATCCCCTCAGAGTTTGTTCAAGTCCACCAACCTCTGTCTGTGACGGAGCCCTTCAGACATGGCTCCTCTAGTCACTAGCAGATTCCGACAGTGGTTGCTTTCGGAATCGCTTCCAACATAAAAGCTCCTTAACGGAAACACGTCTTCTGGACTCTCTGCGTGACAGTTTCCGGCGAGGAGTGGGTGTTCCTACAGGAGGTCCTGAAACCTCCCCACTGTTTTCGCTGGAAGTGTCTCTGAGCCATCCCTCCAGCTCACTTTCCCTCAGCTCAGCTCCTCTCCCCTACTGGTTCCCTCTTCAGCTGCTGAGTCTCTCCCAACCTGTGTGAGCCCTTTCACCTCCCTTCCTTCTGATGGCAGTTCCCTGACATCCACCTCCCCTCCAGGGCCCCTTTCACCCCTCTCGCCCCCTCCTCTCCGGGCGGTGAGGAGGCAATACCACGGAACGAACTTCCTTCATCTTCCGATGTCTCGAACACTTCTCTCCACCTGTTGCGGTTCCTGGTCTCGAAGTACTCCTCCTCCTCAGAGTCCATCTCCCCTTCCCCTTCCGAGTCCGGGAATCCTTCCAACTCCTCCTCCTCATCAGTGGTCCCAAAGTATTCCCTCCGGAACCTCTCCACAGGCTGAGGTTTCCTTGGGAACCTTTGATGGAACGTTTCTATCAATACCTCGTCATTGATATCTTCGGCCATTACCCAAGTGTTTTCTGACTCCGGTTCTCCTTCCCACGCTACCAAATACTCCACCTGATCCCCCTTCCACCTGGCGTCGAGGATTTCTGCCACATGGCTGCTGCATTCTCTTTCTTCTATGACCGGTCCCCGAGTGGCCTTCCCTTCTCGTCCCCCTTCGTACGGTGACAGTAACGACCTGTGAAATACTGGGTGCAGTTTCATGTGGTTGGGTAACCGGAGCCTGAAAGCCACTGGGTTGACCTGTTGAATGACCTCAAAGGGACCCAACCTCCTGGGTCTTAATTTCTTACAACCTCCTTTGAACGGCACCCCTTGGGTTGACAGCCACACCCTATCTCCCACCCTTATGGTTTCACCTTCCCTTCGGTTCTTGTCTGCCTGCCTCTTGTATTCTTCCTTCGCCCTTTCTAAGTTGAGTTGGAGCTGACGATGGATTGCTTCCATTTCTTCCACAAAATGCTCGGCTGCCGGGACGCTCCATCTCTCCCCATCTCCCCCTGGGAAAACCCTGGGATGACACCCATAATTAGCCAAGAAGGGGCTCATCCCTGTGGACACATTCTCGGCATTGTTGTAGGCAAATTCCGCCAGCGCCAACTTTTCTACCCAGTCATTCTCTCTGTCATTGACATAACACCTCAGGTATTGCTGGAGGACACCGTTTGCTCTTTCCGCCTGCCCGTTGGTTTCAGGGTGCCGGGCAGTCGAAAAATTGACCTCCACCTGCAGTAAGCTCATGAGCTTCCTCCAGAACCTGGAAGTAAATTGTTTTCCTCGGTCTGAGACCACCCTCAATGGCACCCCGTGCAACCTAAAAATGTGTTCTACAAATAACTTCGCTGTCTCTTCCGCCGTGACTGCATGCGAGCAAGCTACAAAGTGGCACATCTTTGTTAGTAGGTCTACCACCACCATGATGGCTGTTTTCCCTTTGGACTTCGGCAGATCAGTCATAAAATCTATCGACACTGCCTCCCAAGGTCGTTCTGGGGTTGGTAAGGGTTCTAATAGCCCCGCCGGCGCCCGCCTTTCCCCTTTGGCTCGCTGGCATTGCTCGCACCCTCTTACATACTCACGTACATCTTCCCTCACCTTAGGCCACCAAAATTCCCTGGTGACCAACCACATGGTTTTGTGTTGTCCAAAATGCCCCGCCGTAGGGCTGTCGTGCAACTGCTTGAGTACCCTCCCCTTAAGTCTCCTTCAGGGATATACAGTGCCCCTTTGTAATACAAAGCTCCATTTCTTTCCTCGAAACCCCTGGTTCCTCTCCCTCACCCCTAAGACCTCTGAGCTTATTCTGGGCGTATTCATCATTCTCTGTTTCCTCTACCAGTTCTCTTTGTCCCACCAATGCCGCCCCACACACCCAGCGGTCCTCTGGAATGACATGTCTCTCTTCGGGTGCTCCCTCCCCTCCAAATATTCAGGTTTGCGTGAGAGAGCGTCCGCCCTAATGTTCTCTGGGCCTGGCACGTAACCAATCTCAAAGTTAAATTTGGAGAACTCCTGGGCCCATCTCACTTGCCGTTGGTTGAGCACTCGTGCCGTCCTCCAATACTCTAGGTTCTTGTGGTCAGTGCACACTTGCACCTTATGTTGTGCGCCAATTAGCAGGTGCCTCCATCTCCGGAACGCCTCATGAATGGCTAGTAGTTCTCGGTCATACACCGTGTAGTTCCTCTCGGATTTGTTCAGCTTTCGCGGAAAAAAAGCACACGGTCTCCACTCTGACTCCTCCTTCCCTGGCTGCAGCAGCACCGCCCCAATCGCTCTGTCTGATGCGTCAGTTTCCACTCTCATCGGTTTTTGTAAATCCACATGCAGGAGTTGTTGTTCCGAGGCGAAGGCCCTTTTAGTTCCTCAAATGCTCGCTCCGCCTCCTCAGTCCAAACGAACTTCTTCTTACTGCTGAGACAGTCCGTAATGGGCGCCGTCAGGTGGGCAAAGTTTCGGATGAACTTACGATAGAAGTTCCCAAATCCTAGGAACCTCTGCACATCCTTCCTTGTTTTGGGTGTTTTCCATTCCAGCACCGCCTGGACCTTGCCGGGATCCATGGCCAATCCCTTGTCTGACAGGCGATACCCCAGGAATTCCACCTCCTTGGTATGAAACTGACACTTCTCCAGTTTCACCCACAGCTGGTTGGCTTGCAGCCTGCTCAACACTTCTCTGACGTCTCTCACATGCTGCTCCTCATTCTCAGAATACACCAACACGTCGTCTAAAAAGGCCACACAATTCTTGTAAAGCAAAGGCCCCAGGACGTGGTTCATAAACGATTGAAAGCATGCGGAGCCTGCTTGTAGGCCGAAGGGCATAACCAAATATTCAAATGCCCCTAAAGGGGTGAACATGGTGGTTTTCCATTCATCCCCTTCCTTATTCGTACCAGGTTGTACGCCCCCCTTAGGTCCAGCTTTGTGAAAATCTTTCCCTTCCGCACCCTTGTCAAAATGTCGTCAATCCTGGGCATAGGGAAGGCCACTGGTTCTGACACTGCATTTAAGGCCCTGAAGTCACACACCAGCCTCGGCTTGTTCGTGTTTTTATCCACAAAAACACTGGGCTGCCCCCACCGCCCTGGACTCTCTGATGAACCCTCTCTTCAGGTTCTTGTCAATGAACTCTCTTAGCTCCTGCATCTCTCTGTCTGACATGGCGTACAGCTTGCCTACAGGGAGCTGTGCCCCAGGGAGTAAATTGATTTGACAGTCAAAGGGTCTATGCGGGGGTAGTTGGTCAGCTTCCCTTTCGCTGAAGACGTCGCGGAGATCTGCGTATTGTCGTGGTACCTTCACGTTCTCCGTTACTTCAGTCCCTGCTAGGGTGGCTTGGGCCCCTGCCAAACCCTTTCCCTCTTTGCAGTGTTCTAAGCAATGTGCTGAACCAAAAGAAACCACTCTCTGATGCCAGCCCACCAGCGGATCATGTAACGCTAGCCAGCTCATCCCCAATATAATGGGAGCTCCTCCCAAGGTGGCCACATTAAACGCTATCAGTTCGGTGTGCCTTGCCACCTTCATTATCATTGGGACGGTCTGCAAGCTGACTTCTCCTCCCAACAGCTCCCTGCCATCGATCGTGGTCACCTGCAGGGGGTTGCTTAAAGGGATCGTCTGTATCTGGTGTTCAGCTGCAAACTCTTTGCTCATGAAATTGCAGGAGCTGCCTGAGTCCAACAGCGCCTTTATCTTTAGAGGGTGTCCGTTTGGCAGCTCTAGCGCCACTTCTATCACTAGGGCGGGTTTAGGAGGTTCTGGCGTGGGCACTCTCACTGCTCTTTGGCCTGGCTGCTGTGCCCCGACGGTGGCAGCCAGGCGTTGGCTTTACTTGCTCCGGTATTTCTTCCTCTCTTCCCTCCACAGCTCCTACCATCCCTTGCCATTCCTTCCTCTGGGGGCAGACTCTGGCAAAGTGACCTGGCTGTTGGCAGAGATAGCATTTCCGGACGCGTTTTCCCTCCTTCTTTCCCCCCTCACTGGGCTTTGAAACAGCGCGCGCGCGCTGTTCCGATTTTCATCGGCTCTGCCGGCGGGAAAGTTGGCTCTGGAATGTCTGGAATGCGGACCTCCTTCCACCGTTCCCCTTCCCTACCCGCCTCTCCAATGCTCTCGCCTCCTGGCGCGCTCCTATGGTCAGCGCTGATTTGGTCAGCTGGTCCATAGACTCCGCCCCTGGGCGCCCGGGAAAGTTCGTCTTTCACAGCCGAAGAAAGCCCTTCTTCAAAGAGCATTTGAATGGGTTCCGCCGATAAGTCCCACCCCAATCTGTGAACCAGCATGGTGAACTCAGTCCAGTACTCACGGACAGATCGGCTCCCCTGTTTGCAAGCCATTAACTGTCTGCGCACCACTCCCTGTTCAATATCGCTGGAAAACATCAGATCCATGGCGCGAAAGAACTTCATCGTGTCCTTTAGGACGTCACTATTCGCTGCCATCAGGGGTCTAACCCAGTCTTTCGCCCCTTTTCAAGATGCCCAATCACGAAAGCCACTCGTGATTCCTCGTCAGGAATTCATCAAACTGCAGATTGAGGGCATATTGCATCTCTGTCCGAAAGCCATGATAGTCTTTGGGCTCCCCCCCAAACTTCTGCACCAATCCTGGTACCTTTCTGGCGAGCTGGGTGGCTTTCCCCTTTTGTCTGCATCCTGAGCCCTCCTCTCCTCAAGCCTCGCCGTCTGCAGCGCTAGCTGGACCTCCAACACCCGGTACCTTTCTTCCAGGCTTGGACCCGCTCCAGCTCCTGCTTCTCCGGTTCCGGCTGGGTTGCTCATGATGCCTTCTCCTGCACAAGCTGCTTTCAAAGACTGTCGGAATGCTGTGATGGGATGATGAGCTGCTTGTGCGTAAAATAGTATCCCCTCAGAGTTTGTTCAAGTCCACCAACCTCTGTCTGTGACGGAGCCCTTCAGACATGGCTCCTCTAGTCACTAGCAGATTCCGACAGTGGTTGCTTTGGAATCGCTTCCAACATAAAAGCTCCTTAACGGAAACACGTCTTCTGGACTCTCTGCGTGACAGTTTCCGGCGAGGAGTGGGTGTTCCTACAGGAGGTCCTGAAACCTCCCCACTGTTTTCGCTGGAAGTGTCTCTGAGCCATCCCTCCAGCTCACTTTCCCTCAGCTCAGCTCCTCTCCCCCTACTGGTTCCCTCTTCAGCTGCTGAGTCTCTCCCAACCTGTGTGAGCCCTTTCACCTCCCTTCCTTCTGATGGCAGTTCCCTGACATAAACATATTTGAAAGAGCATTATCATTTGATTAGAGCTAGCATATTATCTTATTTCACAGGACTGCTTCTGCCCAAAATGAGAGGTAGCCTGTTTGATTTGTAGTTAGAGACTTTGCTCCTGAGCCACATTACAGTCATTACTTAATGAGTCCGTGGCTGAGCTGGATTTGCATTAGTATCTTTGGTCTGGATCCAACATGCCATACCATTGGGTGAGTTTGGTCCAGTCGTAATAGATCGCTGAGCTGTGTATGAGCTTGTGTGAGTTGATGGTCGTAGCGATGGGTTAGTATGCGGAAACCCCAGTTTCAAATATTTCTGAGGCCTGCTGTGCATTTCATGTGTACATATCAGATGCTTTTTAAATGTACAGTACAGTGGTACCTCGGGTTACAGACGCTTCAGGTTACAGACTTCGCTAACCCAGAAATAGTACCTCGGGTTAAGAACTTTGCTTCAGGATGAGAACATAAATCGTGCGGCAGCAGCGGGAGGTCCCATTAGCTGAAGTGGTACCTCAGGTTAAGAACAGTTTCAGGTTAAGAACGGACCTCCAGAATGAATTAAGTTCTTAACCCGAGGTACCACTGTATATCTAAAACAGCAAATGAAAACACACATTCTGCAGGGGGGGAATCTGTTGTCTCATTTCACCATTTGTGATTCAGTTTATTTAGCTGCTATCGCTCCCTTTGCTCTCAGAATGCGGCAGACTTTTCACTGTATATTTTGTGCCAGAGCACAAGCGCATAAGACCAAGTACAATAAACAAAATACACCCAATTAAGCATGGAGGGCATGGATACATGCGACGTTGGACATGCCGTTTATGTATTCAAGGCATTTGTATATCTTCATAAATATTTATCCCAAGGAAGTTTACATTGCAAATTTCAATGCAATGAGCCACTCATTGACTCTGTTCCGACTACAGTATTTTAGTAGAACAGTATTCTCTTTGTCTTATTGCATTTCTTTTACTTAGAGTTGGAAGGGGACCATAAGGGTCACGTACTCCAGCCCCTCACAATGTAGGAATCTCTTTGCCCAACATGGAGCTTGAATTTAAATTTCACATAAATTTAAGAAGCAAATGACATTCAATAATAAGGACATAAGAAGAGGTAGGACACAACCATTGTGGCTACAAGTCTTGTCCTCCATGAATCTGTTCAGTCTTCTTCCAAAGCCATCCAAGTTGGTGGCGGCTGTCACTGCCTCTTGTAGGATTGAGTTCCATCATGTGCTGTGCAAAGAAGCACTTTCTTTTGTCTGTTACGGATTTCCCAACATTCAGCTTCATTGTGTGGCCATGAGTTCTAGTGTTATGAAAGAGGCAGGAAATTTTTCTTGATCCACTTTCTTCATGCCCAGTGCCGGATTTATGTATAAGCTAAACAAGCTATAGCTTAGGGCCCCACTCTCTTGGGGGCCCCCCAAAAAAGTTTTAAGGGGAAAAAACCCGGATGTAAATTTCCAAAATATAAGATAAAAAAACAAATAAAATAAAACCTACATACTGCAACAGTGTTTTGTGTTGTGTAGGCTCCTATGATGTAAGGAATAGGCCCCGCCTGCTAGCCTGCTCCCTAAAATATCACTGGTTTGCTCATTTCTATATATAGGGTGCCTGCATTCTGCATGTGCAAATGACTTTAGATACCCATTAGGTCCATAAATTACCATATAGCATATATTCAACACAAAAAACAGTGACAAGTTGTTGTTGACAAAGGACAGCTGGAGATTAATGTTAGCTACAAAGCCCCTAATCTAATTTTTATTGAATGCGTTGGAACCAAATGTATGTCCTGGAAGCAGGGTTTTCTCTTATTTAAACTATATATATTTCTTTTTATAATTCTACAGGCCATTGTTCGAGGCGGAGGACACATCCTGCCCTATGACCAGCCAGAAAGATGTTTGGACATGATCGACAGATTTATATCAGGGAGGGGATTCAAAGCCTAATGGGTACTGAAATCTCAGCTTCAGTGCTGCTGCTCTTCTGAATTCTCCACAAGAGATTTTAGGGGCCGATAGGAAAACTTGTACTGTGTATAAATAAACTGTTTTAATCTGCTCAGTTACAATCTTGAGTCTGTTGTCCTTGTCACTGGCTCAGATTTCCCTGCTGTGGTGCAATTTTGAACCTGGTATTACAGAGGAAACTTTTTTTTTGACATGGTTCCAGAATCCCTCATAGGCTGAACTTAGTCACATGGAAAAAGGGTTACACGTTACACTGTTGAGACTATTGTTACATGAAATAGACAACGGCCATTTTTCATATGTGGGTGGGGGGGTGTTCAGTTCCTGGCCCCCAGGCGCATCAGCCTGTTCTGCCCCTTTTTGGCCCTCTTCCGAGTCCCAAAGGACTTATTCATTGGCGGTCATGCGTCAATTGGATGTGCACACATTGGCCACTGGCTGTACAAAGCAGCTTTGAACAAACTCTTTCAGGATCCTTTATGTAGCCAGTCATGCCAGCTGAGGCTTTGTGGGGTTTTTGAGTCTTTGAGTCTCAAGAGGGAACCACATAATTACAGTGGTACCTCGGTTCTCAAACTTAATCCATTCCGGAAGTCCGTTCCAAAACCAAAGCGTTCCAAAACCAAGGTGCTCTTTCCCATAGAAAATATTGCAAAATGGATTAATCCGTTCCAGACTTTTAAAAACCACCCCTAAAACAGCAATTTAACATGAATTTTACTATCTAACGAGACGATTGATCCATAAAATGAAAGAAATGTACTGCAGCCACGGAATCAATCAATCAGTAGCTGAACTGGGTTCCACACAGTCACAAAAACAAAAAAAGAGAGCCACAAAACCACAAAATAAATAGTAAAAACAGACAGACCTCAGTGTAACACTCAAAACGGAAGTGTGGCACTCAAAATGGAGCATGTTTGGCTTCCAAAAAGAGTTCGCAAACCAGAACATTTACTTCCAGGTTTGCAGTGTTTGGGTTCCAAGTTGTTTGAGTACCAAGGCATTTGAGAACCAAGGTACCACTGTACTGTGGAAGGGGGCTGAACTGCTGATGTTCTCCTGGCATGAGGTACATGGCTGGGCCTCTGCTCAACTGTCCATGTGTTAGAAGGGATATCTGAAGTGAAGACTTCAGATGTAAGTATGTAGCTTCTTCACTACAGATACCCATTTTAACACATGGCCTTCTCAGCCAGCACCATGCTGGCCTCACTTTTGAGTAATTGATATGTAAAAGGGGCTTTATTCTCTAACTTGGGACTTCCCCTCATTGCTTTAACTCTACTGCAAAACAACAGACAGATGTATAAATGGAACTTTCTTTTACTGGACCCACAGAAATAGAACAAAAATAGGAACCCATAAAGGAACTGGAAGTAGGAAGAAGTAGAAAGACAAAGGAGATATTTATTAATCTGACGTGTTTTGGACCCTACTGTTCATTCTTCAGGGAAATTCGGGAAAATAAAGACTTGACATTTATATGTCCTGTCTCTCTTCTGAGTTTTCCCAAAGAAGGACCAGAAGAGTCTGAAATGCATTAGATTAATAAATCTCTCTCTCGTCTATTGTTTTGCTTCTGTGTAAGTGAAATTATTTAAAATAAATCTCCCCCCACACAAAAATCCTTAAACCCCACCCCTTTCCAGTTTTTCCTCTTGTTTTGCTCTCATCTGTAGACTCCTGAACATCAAAAATAATCCACTTAATGATATTGTTGTACACACCCCACTTCTCTAAACAGAAGTTCCAGGAGCATGATGCTTACCTGGGCTCTGTTCAGACGCCATTTTGTAACATTTGAGTTTATTCACAACGAGTTTGTATGTAGGTGAACTAAGCTGCAGATGTTTTGAACTACAACTCCCACCAGCCCCACTGGGGTTGATGGGAGTTGTAGTCCAAAGCATTTGGAGGCCTCTAGGTTGGAGAAAGCTGGTTTCTTCAAAACACAGTCCAATCCATTGTCTCACATCTGATCTCACAGGGAAAGACAGCCCACAAAAGGCTAGGAACCTCTGACTCTTCCTCACTATCTTCCTCAACAATTATCTGTCTTTGGTTCCCTTTTGCAGAACATTATCCTTGGCTGGGGAGGACAGGGGATTCCAAATCTATAATTTTCAATTATAGAAGAGATTTTAAATTACTGTGACCAAAAGCCTCCCGGGCCTATTCAGAAGCCTGTTTTGAGCTGAAAGCTTATTTCCGATGCTTCAGAAAACGAAAATAACAAAAGCCTGCAAATAGGAATAGCAAGCAAACTTGCAGAGTTTAATTTTCTGGATGCGCAATGTATGCACGCTCTGACAATTTGGTCCTTTCTCATGTATATTTTCATGATTCAGTGGTTGTTATCTCAAATGTCTTTGACAAAAAAAGGAGAGAAAGTGCATCTCCATCGAGCACTTGCTCATCAAATTGCAAGCGTTTTCAAAGAAATCAGCCTCACCTTGGACGGTAACTGCTTACTGGTACTTCTACTGAACTGCTGAGATTACCAAGCCCTCTTTATGGCTCCCAAACAGACATCTAGGGAAGCCAGAGGACTTCTCTGGTTAGTTGCAATACCACCCTTAACTGTTACATATGCATATGGACTTATCCATTTGCTTAAATTGGGCTGGAGGACAAGGTCTGTGCCATGCCCTAGATTGGTGGAACCAACGTCAAAAGAGTGGACACTGTGCAGGTACCTGCAACAGATCAGGTGCTGCTGCTTTCCCCCAATGCTGCTAGAGGTGAGCCTGCTAGGCAAAAGGGACCCCAGGGTGGTATTTTGCTGGAGCTGCCCTGACAAGCAATACCAGCCTTGGCTCTGGACTTGCTTTCCTTAGAAAGGCACTGGATTATCACAGTCCAGTCGAAGCAAAATACAAACGAGACTGTACCCTATCGAAAAACAAAAGCACATTTGGGAAAAAGTATATGCACCTATAGAGGTAAAGCTCTTATCACCCCAAGATTATTCGTTTTCAGTCCCAATGCCTTTTGCATTGTATTTATTTAAACAGTATATATATACTGCTTAACTGCGGTCATCTCTATGCGGTATAAAAGAAACGCAATACAGAAATGTTAAAAATATTTAAAACTATAAAACCAGGCTTCAATTAAAATAGCTGGTGGATTTTTTATTTTTTTAAAGTTATAATAATTATTATTTATACCCCGCCCATCTGCCTGGGTTTCCAACAGAATGATGATGATGATAAAGTGATAAAACACCAAACATTAAAAACTTCCCTAAACAAGGAAGTAGGTGCTGAAAGTTGAACAGAGAATGGGTCTGTCTGACCTCAACTAGAAGGGAATTCCATAAACTTGGGCCCGCAATACTGAAGACACAATTCCTGGTGAATGTGAATACATAGTCCCCCTATGTATTCAAACCATAGGGGACTACGAACAGTGACTCACCCCAAGACCTCAGTGATTAGATAGGGATAGAAGGGATTAGGTGGTCCTTGAGTTATCCTGGACCCTAGTTACTAAGGACTCTGTAAATCAATACATTAGAATATTGGTGCATTAGAATTTAAATTCTAAAAGAAATGGTTTCTTAGTTCATTGTGGAAAACTGAATCTCTCTCTTGAAGGGCATATACATGGGATGTTGGAATTCCTGTATTTTATTGAATCTAAGAAGATTGGTTTATATAGGACATATTTGCCGACACAAATCACTAACATTTCCGTGTTTCCACATCTTACCAGATATAAACTTGTTTCTTTGAAACGCAGTGGTGGAAGTACAGCTTGGAATCGCTGTTCATGAGGATGTCAAATAATATTAAATCCACCAAAGTCTAGCTTATGCTGGATACTAGTGAGTTCACAGGACATACCGTTTTGATAAATACATTACACTTAACAAGACAAAAGCTCTTGGTTGTGTCTTGGGGATAGAATGTCAAAGTTCACTTCTTTAATTTCCTGTACTCTCTCTCTCTCTCTTTCTTTTTTAGAACTTCCCCTTGAGGATTTGGGAAAGATGATATGTGCACATCCTGAATAACTAGCAAGAAACATTAAAAGAATGAAAGTAAATTTTCTAATCTGGACCTTTGTCTATGTCTTCTGAAGCCTCTCAACAGTTTTTGCTTTTAAAAGAGGGAACGTTATCTTATTCTACATGTCAGAATTTTCACTATTTGGCATTATTTTATCTCCCCACAAAAAGAGAATCAATGGATGATTTAGCACATCAGTTTATACAGTGTCTTGCCTGCCGTCTAATTATTTGTGTACTTTTTATGGTGTAAAATACTCCTGTATCCTTGTTTCCATGCTTTCTTCCTATTTGTCATTTATTTTTAGATCTAGCTGCAGTTTGATGAGAGAGGAAAGGATGGAGAGTTCCAGACCTTCTGAGCTCCTAAAACAACAGCATTAAGAAACAAACCGGCAGACACTGCTTCCTAGAAAAGGAGACCCATAAGGATCTCCTTGGTTGATAGGTTAAAAGCCACGAAGACATCCTGGAAAATCAATAGGGTTGCACATCCCTAGTCTCTCCTCCAGCAAAGGTAATTCTCCCTGGTGACCAAAGCAATTTTGGTCCTAAAACAGCTAGAATAGGGTTACCAGACGTCCCTGGTTCCCCAGATTTGCAAATCTGTCCCTGGGGAACGTGGCAGCGGCAGCCTCAGCAGCCCGGAGCCAGCCTGTTGGCGCAGTTGGCTCTGGCTGGCTTCAGGAGCTGCTTGCTGCTCACTGCTGTGGCGCCCGCCATTTTTCCTTCGCCACGGCAGCGAGCAGCTCCTGAAGCCAGCCAGAGTCAACTGCGCTAACAGGCTGGCTCCGGGCTGCTGAGGCTGCCGCTGCCACGTTTCCAGGCTGGCCCCTCCTGGGCAATGGCCACCTGCTTGTGACTCCCGAGAGCTCCCCCGAACAGTCAAAACAAAGGGGGAAGGGGGAGGGAGATCGGGGGAGGCTCGGGCGTCATGGGCAGGTGGCGTGCCGTTGCCCAGTTTTTTAAAAAACTCTGTGCATTTATGTTTCACAGGGTTTTGCACATTTATACAATATGCATGTGCGCTTGGGCTCAGGGTCTTTTGCCTCACCATCCCCACTACTGACTCCCTATTGCTACTCAGCTTCCAAAAAAAAAAAAGGGTGTCCCCGGATTCATTGAAAAAAATCTGGTAACCATAAGCTAGAAGCCAGATTGAAATGGGTCTAGAGATAATATATTTCCTTAAGGATGTCTGGAATTGGCAGCTACTACCCACTTCAGCAGGGCAGGGACGCGGGTGGCGCTGTGGGTTAAACCACAGAGCCTAGGACTTGCCAATCAGAAGGTTGGCGGTTCGAATCCCCACGACGGGGTAAGCTCCCATTGCTCAGTCCCTGCTCCTGCCAACCTAGCAGTTCAAAAGCACGTCAAAGTGCAAGTAGATAAATAGGTACCTCTCCAGCGGGAAGGTAAACGGCATTTCCGTGTGCTGCTCTGGTTTGCCAGAAGTGGCTTAGTCATGCTGGACACATGACCCGGAAGCTGTACACTGGCTCCCTCGGCCAATAAAGCGAGATGAGTGCAGCAAACCCAGAGTCGGCCACAACTGGACCTAATAGTCAGGGGTCCCTTTACCTTTCAGCACCCTAACCTACCTTTACCTTTCCCACTTCAGCACCCTGCCCATGAAGGGTGTATTAACAAATCGCAACAGGTGGTTAGCTGGAAAAGTCATCTGGGTCCAGAGAAGGGTTTTTAAGAAGCACAGAATCATGGAATTGTAGAGCTGGAAGGGACATTGAGGTTCATGCAGTCCAACCCCTGCAATGCAAGAATATGCGGCTGTCCCATATGGGGATCAAACCTGCAACCTTGGCGTTATCAGCACCACACTCTAACCAACTGAGCTATCCAGTCTCACTGCTGCCCCTGTCAAGGCAACCGCAACCCTCCATCTCTCATGAAGACATTCACTACCTCCAGAGCCTCATTGATTGTCTACAGTTATCCAAGATAGGCAACGGGATGACTATACCATTGGTAGGTAAACACCTCTACAAGCACAGCTTGTGAAATTTACTCAGGCAAATGCAACTATAAAATAGGAGGGAAAGAATGAGAGAGAGAGAGAGAATGTCATTTTGGAAAGGACGATTTCTTGCTTTTGCTACACTATAGTGTAGGTACTGAAAAGATAACACAAAAGCACTGATGCAAAGCTCCCAGACAGAAGAAGAGTTTGGATTTGATATCCCGCTTTATCACTACCCGAAGGAGTCTCAAAGCAGCTAACATCCTCCTTTCCCTTCCTCCCCCACAACAAACACTCTGTGAGGTGAGTGAGACTGAGAAACCTCAGAGAAGTGTGACTAGCCCAAGGTCACCCAGCAGCTGCATGTGGAGGAGCGGAGACGCAAACCCGGTTCCCAAGATTACGAGTCCACTGCTCTTAACCACGACACCACACTGGCTCATAGAGATGGTGTCACCAGCGCAAAACCACTGTGCTTAATCTCCTGTCCAAGTGAGCCTTCAAAACGTTCTTAAGATGCTGAGCATTGGTGCGAAGCAACTATATTTTTTGAAGCCAGACTAAGTTTCCTTCATAATCATACTTGGCTTTCTTGCCCATCCCAAGCCATTGTTCCGCTGGTATGGGGAGGATCTGAAGTCAGCCATGGAGACCACTGGATCCCCTGCCCAACTCAACATGTTTTGTTTTGTTTGTTTTTTTAAAAAAAACCTGCTAGAAATTTCTTGCACTCCTTTACTAATCTCCTGAGTAGTCAGCCCAGCCAGTCTGTTCTTTCTATAGGAGCAGTAAGCTGGGAGAGAGCAGTAATCCCCCAGAGAACTGATAAATTTGGCAGTCCACAAAAATTTAACCATTAAAGTTTTCACTTGGCTCGCTCTTCCTTTGGCGTTGTACATGGAATGTCAAGGAGCCTTTCTGGAACGAGAAGCGGGTAAGTGGGAGCTAAATTATCTGGGCCACTATGTTCTGTTCTTTTGCAATGCTTGTGTTTTATGTCCAGGCAGCTTGGTAACTGCGAAGCGTTATTTCTGAAGAAATCCCCTCAAGCTGTGATTTGAGGCTTTGGTGTTGACATGACAACCTGAAAAGCAAGCAAGTCGCTCAACAATGAAAAGTACAGTGTGGAATAACGCTGAGGGGAGGGCACAAAGGCTATGAAAAAAGGACAAAACGACATAAATTTGGGCAAAACTGAACAATAAACCTGTATTGATGTTGTGCGAACAACCCCGCAAAAGGGTGAACAATCTACATATAATAGTAGTCAAAGTATCAGGTGTCTGGTAACCATCCCAAGGGATGAAAAGATTGTGTTACTAACTCTCTGGGCAAATCTCCAGTATTGCTGTGTGCCAACAAAAAAGTTAAGTATTCTTAGCAAAAGAACACTTCAATTGCTGAAAACTGGAGGCAGAAATGTAGAATGAACTTCACTTTTAAAGTTACAGGAATACCTAGAAAAGACTAATTATTGCCAAAGGCAAGGAAATATTCGTATTATTTATTTCTATTTTAATTCCAGTCTCCCTGAAACCTCAAGGTTAATTACAACATTAAAACAAAACAAAACCCAAAGTCTAATGTTTCAGTCCAGAGAACTCTTGCCGGCAAAGGACCCACCACTTTCTAGAACATCCCCATTTAAGCAAAGGGAGGACCCTAATCTGTAGGAGCTTTGCCTGAGAAGTTGGTGAGGGTGTGTGTGTGAATCTATAAAAAAACAACATGAGCGCAATGAAGTCATGGTCTGCAATATTTCACCGAACATTAGCAGGCAAGGTGTTCAGGTAGGATCATAGGAAACACAAGAATCTGCACTTTCTCAAGTCAAATCAATGTCCCATCTATGTTCCACCATGGGTACCCGATGTGGTGCTCTCTAGATTCGCTGGACTACTGTTCCCATCATCCTTGACCCATGCTGTTGTTTTTGTCTGTTACTATGTTATGCTTTTCTTTTATATTGTTAAACCACCCTTTGATTCCAGGATGAAAGGCACCATAGAAATTTAATAAATTATAATTATAAGGCTGCCAGGGGCTGAAGGGAGTTGAAGTCCAGCAAAATATGGAGGCATCTCTGGGCTATACTGACAGGTGATAGCTTTCTAGAGTTTGGCATCTCTATGGATAGTCTACAGGGAGGAAGCTTGTACATACAAAGTATGTGCTCTACCACTGATTTATTTTCTCTCCTCATAAGCACATCAGACAACTTAGACTTGCCCAGAAGTGCAAATCAGTGTCTCATAGCCTCTACCAGCCTGGCCTGACTCCCTAAACAACACAGCAAGATTGTGGCAGTAATTAAGGGCCTTTGTTGCTCTAATGTAGGGTGAAGATCAGATAATACGTTCTTTATATGAGGTGCAATGACTTCTCCGTGTATCTCCCTCTCACACCAAACAAAATTTCAAAGGTAGTTAAGGAAAAGTTCTAGAGGAAAAGTAGGAACCTCAACTGTTTTTAAAAGCAGCATATGGCTTTGAGGCAGGACCGGCCCAAGACATTTGGGCACCTGAGACAGAGCCCAATATGATGACACATATACCAGAGAAGAAGGGGTGAGGGAAGATCTGAGTGAGTGTCCGGAGGCGGCTGGAGGATGGATGGCGGCTAACAGATTGAGGTTGAATCCTGACAAGACAGAAGTACTGTTTTGGGGGGACAGGAGGCGGGCAGGTGTGGAAGACTCCCTGGTCCTGAATGGGGTAACTGTGCCCCTGAAGGACCAGGTGCGCAGCCTGGGAGTCATTCTGGACTCACAGCTGTCCATGGAGGCGCAGGTCAATTCTGTGTCCAGGGCAGCTGTTTACCAGCTCCATCTGGTATGCAGGCTGAGACCCTACCTGCCCGCAGACTGTCTCGCCAGAGTGGTGCATGCTCTAGTTATCTCTCGCTTGGACTACTGCAATGCGCTCTACGTGGGGCTACCTTTGAAGGTGACCCGGAAACTACAATTAATCCAGAATGCGGCAGCTAGACTGGTGACTGGGAGCAGCCGCCGAGACCATATAACACCGGTCTTGAAAGACCTACACTGGCTCCCAGTACGTTTCCGAGCACAATTCAAAGTGTTGGTGCTGACCTTTAAAGCCCTAAACGGCCTCGGTCCAGTATACCTGAAGGAGCGTCTCCACCTCCATCGTTCTGCCCGGACACTGAGATCCAGCACCAAGGGCCTTCTGGCAGTTCCCTCGCTACGAGAAGCCAAGTTATAGGGAACCAGGCAGAGGGCCTTCTCGGTAGTGGCGCCCGCCCTGTGGAATGCCCTTCCACCAGATGTCAAAGAGAAAAATAACTACCAAACTTTTAGAAGACATCTAAAGGCAGCCCTGTTTAGGGAAGCTTTTAATGTTTAATAGGTTATTGTATTTTAGTGTTTGTTGGAAGCCACCCAGAGTGGCTGGGGGGACCCAGCCAGATGGGCGGGGTATAAATAAATTATTATTATTATTATTATTATTATTATTATTATTAGGAACAAGGGGGAAGAAGAAAGAGTGATATTGGGATTGGTCGCCCGCTTGGACCTTGCCACCTGAGACGGTCACCTCACCTTGCCTCATGGGTGGGCCAGACCTGCCCTGAGGCCATTCAGGGACACTCAGCAATGAGCTGCCATAAGTGTACAACTCTTCTCTTCAAGCATTTATTGCGTATTTATTTGTCACAGCTGAATCCCACCCTGTCCCCAAAGAGCTCATAGTAATGCACATGGAGTTGCCATGCTAGTTTGTTGCAAGGATGAGGTAAATTGGAATGAGCAGGGAATGTAGGATGAAGTTCCCACATCCCTCAGGACTGGGCTGAACAATGGCAATGCAGCCTAATACTTTTGGCAAAACAAAAACATGTTGTCATGTTTTAATAAAACGCCAAAAGCATAGAGCCCCTTATAAACAAAGATGATGGCCTGCATCTGAATGCAAGCGAAGAAACCCTTCTTGCAGAGTGTTTTAATATTCTACCTGTACATTGCCAGCTCTGTGAAATCAATATTCACAAGAAATTGTGATCTTTGTGATAAAATCTTTGACTTTTTACCTCAGTCTTAAAAGTGTTTTGAAAGGATTCACAGAGATAATAGCCCGAGGTCACTGGAGGTTCCTGAAATCATTGTTCCAGATCTTCTGGAATTATATAGAGACAGTCACATTGAATATTATTTTGACAGATCAAAATTACATGAAACTGTTCTTCTTAATTTATATAGGTTTTTAAATGAATGAATGAGTGAGTTTAAGCATTGTTCATTCAAGCCCAGACCATACATGCTAACCCATTTGTAACACAAAAATCCTAAAGTAAGCCATAGCTGAGGCAGGGATTGTGAGGGCAGAGAGGATTTAAAAAACAAAAAGAAACCAAGTCAAAGACCTAGTGCAAGTTAAAAAGTATGCAATCCAAGACAAGTTAGGTCAAATCCAGTCCTACCAGAAGAAATACACCTAACTATATTTTTAAAAGTCATGGTAAGGATGGTAAACTGCAAGAAGAGGTGCTGGAATTAGGTTATGAGGCCTGGAGCTGGGGGAAAGAGAATAGGGACTTGGAAGCGGTTAGGCTGAGCAAGGCTGAGTTTACACATCTAAACCATGAACAGCAATCGTTATGAAGCATTACTGACACATGGCAGTGATGTGTGGTGTCTTTCCAATGGTGGCTGCCCCAGGGCCAGGACTGACTCACTCCTTCCCCATATGCCAAACACTAGAATTTGCTTCAGAAATGATGATCTAACTACATGGCTGCATATAGATGTTGGGGGAATAAATTATATTGTTAAGACCTCTTGGCCCTGGATGATCTTTCAGTCAGAGTCAAGTCTCCTGTATTGCATTAGCAGATTCCACTGCCGTTTCCATTGCTTTGTTTGTGT